AAGATACTATTACAAATCATCAAAGTAATTTCATCCCAAGGGTCCCAAGATAAAAATTTTGGTAATATTCTAAACCATTTATAAACATCATAGCAAAATTTATTAAAGCATTTATAGCGCCTACGTAAATAAGTAGTTGTGATGCAGCCACAAAATGAGAATTTGATAAAATATAGAATAAAAATACACAAACAAGAACTAGTCCAAATGAAAAAGTAGAAAAAATCAAATTCGTAAATAAGACTACTCGTAGACTTCCTAATATTAAACTCGATACTAAAATAAAACCATGTAACGATCCGAACAAATTCATTCTATGTAAAATAAGAGATAAATATAAATTTTATGACCTTATTGATATGACTAGGAAAAAACTTGTTAAATACTAAAAATATTTGTGCATTTTTTTCACTAAATTCTAAGATAAGAAATGTAAATCATTATTAGGTAGAATTGTTATCATATCAATGTCATTTCATTTTTTCGTTATGCAAAAGAGTTATTTCAACATAATAGAATATATTTTTATATATAAAGATAGTGATATATTCATTATTTTTGTTTTTAGAAGAATTTTAGAAATCATTTCCTCTATTTGAATTATATAATCATCAATTACTAATACTGGTAAATAACCCAAAGCAATTAGATTATAATCCAATTTGTGAAAAGTTCATATTCTTCAATCATTGATAAATAATTTGTTAGATAACATTTAATACATTTACCACAAAATATACATATTCCAAAATCAATACTGTAATTAAACATCCGTTTCTTTGAATATAAGTTTCTAATTTCCAAGCAACAACGGATAGATCTATATGGCAGACACTACAACAAACATCACAAGCAATGCATTTATCAAATTAACAAACGTTCTAATGAGATTATTTTTTCGTAAGGATAATGAATAGTTACATGTAACCGATTTGCATGAAATAAGGTAATCATGAAACCTTGACCAATATACCTAGTAGTAAGGACTAGTTATTCACTATAATTGATGAGTTCAGTTATCATGAGGAACCTATCATGGATAGCTGAATATTTGTTTTCTTTCTCTTGTTCAAAACAAGTTCTAAATTTTGAATATAGAAGATCCATATTTTTTATAGTGAAAACAAGTGAGATGAAGTTGTTAATAGTAAATTACTAAGAGAAATGAGTAAAAGAAACTTCCGCCCAAGATTTAATAATTAATCTATTTTTAGCCTAGACAAAGTTCATCTTGTTGTGATAAAAATGAATAAAAATAAATAAATTTTAACTAGCGTATAAAGATACCAATTATCATTACAAAAACATCTTATGTTTTATTTATTTCAAAAAAGTTAGAAATGAATATGTACGAAATAAAAATATGACCACCGAAATATAGAACTATCACAAAAAAGAAGAAACTCATAGATTTAAATAGGAAGTAACGTAAGATAAACCATATGATAACTCGCTATTAGTTCTTCTTTAGATTCCGATAAATCAAAATGTAATCTTTCACATTCTGCTAGGCAAGATATTAGAAAAATGAGAAAACTCATAGGTTGACGCCACAAATTTCATTCCCAAAAACAATATTTTAATTGTGCATCAACTATGTTAATTGTACTTAAACTATTAGATAATCCTAGTAGGTGATGAAATTACTATTTACCATCTTTATTCCAGAACAATACATGAGATTCTCATCTCATATGACTCCTTGAAAGCCTTAAAAAAAAATATAACAGTGAGATACTTACTTTAATCCTACAAATTCAGTTCAATAAGGTGAAGATTGCACTTACCTATATATTATTATGTTATCATATTTCTCAACACACTCCCCTTTATGTTGAGAAAGATTTTTTCATCATACCCCTTTATATCAAAGAATAATTTTTTTATCACATCCTCTCATATTGAGGATTGGTGGTCCAAGGTCCAATAACGGGTGATTAAATCTCACATAGAGGATGAACATGATGATCCAATAATAGTCCGATAACAGATAGTTAAGTTCACCACTATTAACAGTTATTGTCCTAACATGATTTAAAGTTTGCTCTAATATCATCTTAGAAATGTTGAAGTATCTACCTCAATTTTAAAAAATCGGTTTAATAAAGTGAAGATTGTACTCATATATATATATTATTATTACCATCATATTTATAGTCAATGTGAATTTTTTTAACAAATACTTATTTAATAAAAATAGACATATGTATTATAAATAGATAAATTTTAGTTTTCTATTTTAATCTTATTTATGTACAAGTGAGTATATTTATCTTTGTAAACAATAAATGATCCACACTTCTTTTATCAATTTTTTTGTGTGCATGCATGTGACTCCTGTTAAACTAACACACATTTCAATGATAAATGTTTATTAGATAGGTATTTTATAGTCATGAATATGTTAAATATGTGTAGTAATGTCATTATTTAACTTTATATGTTTTATATGTATATGAAAGGAAAAATAGAAGCAAATAGATAAAATTTGGAGCAAAACCTTCATGCTAAATGTGAAACTTAACATTGAACTATATTATGATGTGACATGAAAGCTACAAATACACGTATAGTATGTTTCAGAGAGTTAGACTTTTTATATGTATATATATTTATTTTATTCTATTATTCTAGTTTTCTTTGTCATGTATTTATGTTTCTTCAAAACACAACAAAAAGTAACATTTTCATAAATAATAATAGAGAATAAAGATATAAATGGTATAAGTAATATGTAACAAAATGTTATATTTAATGACATTGGAGCAATTTTGTTCTTGAAGTTATGGACTTGGTTATTATTTGTAGATGTTATTGTCTTTTCTCTTAAGAAATAAATATGCAAAAGATAAAATTAGAGATATTTTGGTAAATTTTTGGTTGGTCCTTAATTTTGTACAATTTTTTTTAACTGATTTTAAGCTTTTGGCTCACATTTTGGATAGATTTTGTCTCAAAGATCACTTAGTCAACAGGTTTAATGTGAAAAATTGTTCCAAACATTTAATTCACAAATAATCAAAGATTCTAAAGGGAAAAATTACAACACTCGCTCAATCTTGAATTTTGAAAAATCACAAATTTACAACACAAAATATATATATTAGGTCAAGAAAATTATACAACCAAATAACTTAGTTTTTAGTATAAAATATGCAACTCAAAAAAAGAAATGGACAAAGAAACTCAATATGTATTCTTATCAAAGAATTGTTTTAATATTTTTTATAAAATCCAATAACAAGTGTGTAAAGCCTCACTTACTATGATTACAGCCCAATGTAAAAATGAAAACATCAAAGTAAGAGACAAATTAAACTAGCGACCATAATCTCCGTCACAAAATAGATTAAAGACAATTTTTTACCACAAAGCTTAAAAGAGATGAATTTCACAACTTAATTGGACTTCAATACTTTCGAAAGCATCCTATTCTATTAACCACACGATATGGACAGGTTAAGGGAAAAATGAAGATTTCTTGTGCAAATTGAAACCCTAACTTAATCATATTCATGTGTCAGTCACTCCTTAAAAAACTTCACATCTTGAAAAAAAAAAAACTTAAACAGGAAAGTTTTTATACTTTGAATGTGAATAATATTTGACCAAAATATTGATAACACGTCTAGAAAATAATTGAATACTAATTTTTTGTATATTAATTTCAAAATAACTAATTTTAAAAAATATTCTTATTTTATTAAATATTATTTATTTTATTGAGAATGTCTATTCAACTAAATTTTAATAACAAACTATTTTAAATTAACAGAAAAAAAGTTAAAAAGATAACTTAGCTTGAAAAGGTAAAAAAGATATTCAATTAAGCATTTATTTATCATATAAAAATAAATAAATAGTATAATATATAAACTAAAATATTATTACGTTATATATATATATATATATATATATATATATATATATATTTTGCGGAAAATACTGTAATATTGTTGTGATAGATGGTGATGATGGATGGTTGAGATGATGAGGAGGATGGACGGCAACGCATGGTTCATGTGCAAAACAGAGAATGAGAGAGGGCAAATGGAAGAATAAGATTTGACTTCAGTGTGGCCGAACCAAATATTATAAAGAAGAAAGAAACAGAAACAGAAAACGAAAGAAAGAAAAAGAAGGGAAAGAGAGAACCAAAATTCAATCAGATCGAATACAATCTTGACGTCCGCAGCAACACACCGCTCTCTCTCTCTACTTTCTCTCTCTAAAGAAGACCTCAGCGCGAGAACTCAATAGGCCCCTTCACTGAACAAGAGGAAGGAGAAACCCTAGAAAGAAGGGACCAACTCAACTCAACTCAGTTATACTCAACTTGACTCAACTCAACTGTTCATATTCCTCGGCACAATTCAAATTCTTTTTCCATTCCTTTTTTTTTTTTTTTCTCTCACCACTGTTTTCTCTTCAGTTTCAACTCGGTAGGTTCATCTGAGTCCAGCTCACTTTCTTTCTTCCGATTCATGGATCGTTGATTCGCTTCACCTAGGGCTCGATCGACCCCGTTTATTTCGCTGCTGTTTTCGCTTTTTTTTTTTTTTTAGTTTCTTTCTTTTTAAATTCAACCGCGCATTTTAGTTTGTTAAATTAAGTTGAATTTATTTTATTTCATGATATTTTATTTTTCAATTACGACTTGGTTGAGGAAGAAACTAATTTGGTATTTTTTTAAAGATTTCGGTAACTAGTTATGTTACTTTATTTATTTGTTTATTTATGTTGATTGTTACCCGGTGGTGGTGTTTTGTTGACTGTTGTTGATGATTTGGATCTGAAAATTGGTGTGCTGTGCAGACTCATGCGGATGGTGTTTGAAGAGTGCACATTTCGATGTTTGAGTTTGTTTTGGAGGCGCAGCAAGGGCTTGGACTTTGGTTTGAAATGAAACGTTGTGTGGTTTGAGATTAAGAGGGTTTGTTTGTGGTAATTATTGGGCTTAGGTTTGTGATTGTTTTGTAAGGGCAGTGATAGTGAATAGAATGGTTCCTCCTGGGCCACCTACGCCTCTTGGTGGTGCCCAGTCTGTGCCGTCACTTTTGAGATCGAATTCCGGAATGTTGGGGGGTCAAGGGGGCCCTGTGCCTTCACAAACTTCGTTCCCTTCGCTGGTTGCGCAGCGAAATCAGTTTAACAACATGAACATGCTAGGTAATATGTCTAATGTAACTTCCTTACTGAATCAGTCTTTTCCCAATGGAATTCCAAATTCTGGGTTGGCTGGCCATGGGAGCAGCCAGCGTGGTGGAGGCGTTGATGCTGGGGCGGAATCGGATCCGCTGTCTGGTGTTGGCAGTGGAATGAATTTTGCCAATACTTTGCAATCGAATTTGGGGAACCCGGGTTCATCTGGTCAAGGTCAGGGTCAGCAATTTTCAAATGCTTCTGGTAACCAGATGTTGCCAGATCAACAGCACTCCCAGCAACTCGAACCTCAGAGTTTTCAGCATAGTCAGCAGTCAATGCAACAGTTCTCTGCTCCTCTTAACGCTCAGCAGCAACAGCAGCATTTTCAGTCAATTCGAGGTGGAATGGGTGGTGTTGGATCGGTTAAGTTGGAGCCGCAGTTAAACAACGATCAGTTTGGGCAGCAACAACAATTGCCCTCAAGGAATCTTGCTCAGGTGAAGTTGGAACCACAACAACTTCAAACAATGAGAAACATGGCAGCTGTAAAAATGGAGCCTCAACATGATCAGCAATTTTTGCAGCAGCAACAGCATCAACAACAACAGCAACAACTTCTCCACATGTCAAGACAATCCTCTCAGGCTGCTGCTGCACAGATGAATCATCTTTTGCAGCAGCAGAGACTTTTGCAATATCAGCAACACCATCAGCAGCAACAGCAGCAACTCTTGAAGGCAATGCCTCAACAACGGCCCCATCTACCACAGCAATTTCAACAGCAGAATATCCGGTCTCCTGTGAAACCACCATATGAACCTGGAATGTGTGCTAGACGGCTGACACATTACATGTATCAGCAACAACGTAGACCTGAAGTAATAATTATTCTAGATATTGTGTTTTCACTAATTATCTATACCTTTTGTCTTGTTATGATGCATTTCCACTATTTTACGCAGGATAATAACATCGAATTCTGGAGGAAGTTTGTTGCTGAGTATTTTGCTCCGAACGCCAAAAAGAAGTGGTGTGTTTCCATGTATGGAAGTGGCAGACAGACTACTGGAGTTTTCCCTCAGGTCTGCTGCAAGAGAAAACCTTATAAACTATTTCTGATGCCTGGATAACTTCATCTAAGTTAGTCTCTTGATTATACAACAATGTCTGTAGTCCATTCTCCATTATACTATTTCCTTTACTTGTATCTTGATTTTGAGGTTGTGATTGCCAAATTATTATGTATCAAGCAACTATTGTCTTGAAAGTTCTATGGGAATCAAGGCGCAACATATTAACTTCATGAAGCTAAGCATTATTTAAGCTAACAGTAAGTTTTAAATATTTTCAGGATGTATGGCATTGTGAAATATGTAATCGCAAACCTGGCCGTGGGTTTGGTAAGTTCTTTAATTTTTCAGTTTAACTCTGTCCAGTTATGTCCTGCTCTGCTACTATCTTACTTTTAGTGATTCGGATTTTTGAGCATTTCAAATGTTTAAAAATATCATTATGCTGCATTATCCTCTTTCTGAAGTTTTATGTGTTTTCAGAAGCAACTGCTGAGGTTCTTCCCAGGCTTTTCAAAATAAAGTACGAAAGTGGTACATTGGAAGAGCTCCTTTATGTTGACATGCCTCGTGAATATCACAATTCATCTGGCCAGATTGTTCTGGATTATGCGAAAGCAATACAAGAAAGCGTTTTTGAGCAACTTCGCATTGTTCGAGATGGTCAACTGCGAATAGTTTTCTCTCCAGACCTAAAGGTTGTGAATACGAAGTGTTACCTTTAACTTTTAACTAAAAGTAAACAGGATATTATTGTTGACATTTTCTTAGAATTACCTTTATCTTTTAAGTAAAAGTCAACCCATTATTATTGATATTTTCTTTATTATAAAAGTAATTGACATTTTTCTTTTGTTATTTCCTTTTCAGATATGCTCTTGGGAATTTTGTGCTCGGCGTCATGAAGAGCTCATTCCCAGAAGATTGTTGATACCTCAGGTTTGTGTTAAAAAAATTAATTGGTGAGAGCCTTTATATCCCGATGATGTATCAATATATGCATCCAAGATGTTCTGTTATGATGGTCAATGGATACTTTATGCTCAGAATTTGGAGAGACTTACTGTGATATGTATTGTTCAGATTAAGGAGAATTCAGATTAAGCAGACTTATATAATTTGATTATTGATTCCAAATGCAGATTAGTCAGCTTGGAGCAGTTGCTCAAAAATACCAGGCATTTACTCAAAATGTGACGCCCAATTTATCAGTTCCAGAGTTACAAAATAATTGCAATATGTGAGTCCATTTTTCCTTTATGCTTTCTGCTTATGTCTGAGTTGCAGTCTGTTAGTAAGAATCTAATCGTGAAATTGTTATGATATACCTGCAAAATTGTTGCTGCCCTTAAAATGTACTTTATTTATTTATTATGTGGTAACTTTCTGCTTAATTTCCTGAATTGTTACTGGATCTTTTATATGAATTTCATATTGAACGTGTTCATAGTGGCTTCTAATAACTTTTATTTTTATTTTGTGGTATAACAAGAGAACAAATGTCTTACTTTCTTTAAATCTGCGTATCTTTGATCTTTACATCTATGTAATGGGATAAGGTACAAACATTTGTCTTTTCCATTCCATGTTCATAACAAATATCTATCTTTTAAGTTTTTCATCTGCGCTGCCGTTCAGTGCATGTCCTTGACTAAAACAATTTAAGAATTGCTACACACACACACATATAGTTATATAGTTATTCATTTTGAAAGAAAATTTTGTTCCTGGGTTTTTATGTGACTTCTAAACTCAGGTGTTGTTGATATTAAGAAATTGGAATGTGTAATGTAAGGTCTCACATAGTTGGGCTTTTAAGGATGTGTCTGATATGCCTACTTCCTGTTTCCACTTATACAACTTTTTCTTGGTCCACTTTTGGGTTCACTTGATTAATAAATCTCTGTTTCGTTTTCTTAAATTTAAATGTTGCTTTACTGCTTCTACAGGTTTGTTGCATCAGCCCGTCAGTTGGCAAAAGCTTTGGAAGTTCCATTGGTCAATGATTTAGGATATACAAAGAGATATGTGCGGTGCCTTCAGGTATTATTGTACTTGTTGAGACATGTCCTTTAACATATTAAGTTGAATCCTATTGTGATTTCAACCGCTGCATATGAACAGATTGACAACTGTAGTTTTTATTTTCTTATTTTTGATATTTTTGTATTTTTTTTTTAAATATTGTCATGGAATTTTTCAGGAATGGATATGAAAGTTTTCCTTTAATTACTTCTTAATGTGCTACCTAAAGAGAGTTATTTTTTTAGATTTTCCATTGATAAGTAAATAAAAAGTTATTGCAAAAATTATGGAATTATGAACTTATGGAAATATGTTCTCCGGTGAATTTTATTTAGTAATTAACTTGACAAACCTTCCTATCTCTTATTGCAGATATCAGAAGTGGTAAATAGTATGAAAGACTTGATAGATTATAGCAGAGAAACAAAGACTGGACCCATGGGTAAGTTAATGATCTTTTTACAGGTTTAAAACACATTTGTGAGCATGGATGTGAATATGGTTATGAAATAGTGTCATGTTTCATCAAAAGCACCGACTATCTTATCCACATATATTGTTGGAATGTTACATTTTCTAATTGAACAATAGAAAGCCTCAATGCCCATACCTTCTTCAGTTTATGTTGGGTATAATTATTTATTTTACTCCCTTTTGTTTCTTAATAAATAAATTCAGCTTAGTCCCAACTATTATAACAAGAATATACAAGTTTCTATAATTATCCAAACCATGCAAAATTGTGCTCACTGTCAGATGTCCTTATGTCCCTGTGTTGATCCAAATTAAAAATATTAACTAATCAAATGGTGATACTACTGGCAACCTGTTAGGATCCAATTAGGCACTGCAATGAAGGGAGATATCCCTTGGAGCTGTGGGGATCTGTTCATTAAAATGATTGCAATATGTCAGCGGGGCCAGTGGGTCAAATATGCTTTGGTTCTTGTATATTCTAGCAAAGTGCGATCAGGAGAACATCTACACCTTGGTGCTCATAAGTTGGTCAATATTATGCTAGAGTCAGAGAAGCTGGGTGTCTATCCCCTACTCCAAAGTATCAATGTTGCTGTTGGGGTGATGCAGACAAAGGATTATAATTACAAATAGTTGGTTAATTTTTTGACATAATGGACCAGGCTCCTAGCACTGAAGTTGATTATTACCAAACACCCAGGGGTGTTTACTATAAATAAATTAGTGAGGCAAAGGAATGAACCTTAGTAATGCAGCGTGAGACAAAAACAGAAGGTTCTTTTTCTAAATTCATGGACCAAGCCCATTGATTAAAGATAAAAACAATGACTCTGAAATGAGGGATGGAAATGACTTTCAAAGATTAGTAGAATTGACCTAACAGAATGGAATGGAATGGAAAATTTGTCTTCAACCTAGGAACTGAAAGTAAATTTTTGTCTACAGTTGTTTGGTTGGCTTTTAGTGATCATGCTTGAACCAACCTGAATTCTGATATGGACTGTATTGGCAGCTGGCTTCGCTTTCACCTTGATGACAAGGTGAATACTTAGATGGGTAGTATCGTTAGGTGTTTGTTTGAATTAGTATCGCTCTTCGCATGTTGGTATTAATTAATTATGAGTTTGTTGCCTCCTATAAATAAGAGGGGAGGGAAGAGAGTAACCATCTAATATTACATTTTTAGTGATTTTTTGTTTGTTTATTCATGTTTCATAATTTGTCTTGTTTTTCATGTGTTAGAATTATAGGTATACCGAATACACTAGGATTATTGATGTTGACTTTAAATGATATTATTGTATTATAGAATGATTAAAAATATAAAGCACTAACCCTTATTTATACCAGTAGTCAAAACGAAATATAGAATCTAATTTTAATAAAGTCTAAAATACTATTAAACTATTCTAAAACTATAATCAAAGAAATAATTCAATATTTTTCATATTTTTGAAATGCTTCCCAGACTAAAAGGTTAAAGTTTAATATGCTTTAAGCTCATAAAAATAAACCTTTTAAATCTAATATGGGCTGCACCAAACGTAGCTGAAATGATTATCATCCTAGAGAGCCGGGTGGAATATTGCATTACAAAGGAGGGAAATCATCAGCTCATGGTTCTTCAGATAGGTGAAATCACCATTGGTGTTAGAGTATTTTGTAAGCTAGTCAACTCATCTGTTTATTTTACAGTTAGTTTAGCTAAAGTTAGTTAGTCCCTCAACAGATATAAGTTACTTTTGTAAAGTTCGCAGAGCTTAGTTTAGCTTACTTTTGTAAGCTACGACTTGTATACATACTGATCTGTTCTATCACATCGTGATAAGAAGAACCATTGTCAATAACAAAAAATATAAGCACAGATTGTATCATTGCGATCTATCTTTTTCACTCTCTAGAAATCTTTTAGTCATTGCATCAAATGGGAGGTTGGTAGTATAAATCCTAACTAATTCATCTCAATACATAAGCATTTTGAAGGGCAGACTGCATTTGTGAAAAAAATTGGGCCTAATTGCATCTGGAACGATAACTGGCAGGTGGCCAGGCTGTGCCTGGGACCAAGTTTTAGGCTAGAAGATAGTTATCAATTCCAGGTAGTGATGCAGAATGACAGACCCTAAAGTCGCTATAGCGGGTTGACTGCTATTCTGAAAATTTATATGTTAAGCAATTCATTTCATATGCACACAATCATACACAAGCTCAAAAATAGTACTGGAAATTATAGACATTCATTTATTGGTGATAGAGAACAGAGATGAAATCATGATAGATCTGTGAGAATGAGCATTTACTGCCACATAATGGAAGGGCAGAAGAATAAGGAAGAGAAACACATGGAAACAGTTAGGCAGTGAACTGAATAGAAACAAAACACTGAGAAAGTACTTTCAAATGTCAGAAATTACCAGAGATGGCATCAGCTAATAGAGGCTCATGTTTCAGAAACACAAGGGAGAACAAAATATGAGAAATGATGCCAGAGAAATGCAAGGCTGGCAGATATATTATGTATATGAGCAAGGTCAGACCACAGAACAGAGACTAGGGCACAAAGTAGTGATGAGAAAAAGTGAGAAATGAACAAAGCTAGATCACATGGACAACTGTGGTCTAACCAAATCTGACTGGGGTCACCAGGGTCAAACAATCTAGATTTATTTATAAAAGAATGCTTGATTTTAGGAAACTTAGCTGCAGAATATTGGATGTCTCTGAAGATGGTACTGCTCTAATACCATATTGAAATTATAAGAGTTTTATGAATGTAGGTAGAAAAAGGAGATAAAAAACTGAATACATTGAGATTGATATTATCACTGTTAATCTAATCAGGAACCGATGTAGAAACTGGTCGGTTGTTTCTAAATTACTGAATTTTAATTAAATTGGGACAAAACCGAAAAAACTAGTTGGGTTTTTGGGTAGAATCAGTTTTGGTTAAAATAAAAAATTAAAGATCAAAATTTTTTAACATAATTTTTTTTTATAAAAGATATAATATATTTTAGTTTCTTTTTCTATTTTTTTTATCTCATATTGATTACAGTCAACTTTAAATAATAGTTATTTTATCATATTTTCATCTTATTTTAACAATTATTCATCTATATTTTCTAATATATTTTATATTTGTAATTTTTATTATAATTTACGGTGATAATGATAGTAATCTTTATTATTTTTCTTTCGTTTATAAAAAAATTTGTTACTAATAAATTTATTATATTATAAAAATATGATTGTATTAAATCCAGTTGAACATTTAAATCTTGAGTCCATGTCTTCACCGGTTTAATGATAGGTCCAGGTCCGGTTTAAAAAATATTGGATATTATTATCGACTTAACATGAAAAACCTAAAGCACTAGCTCTTAGTTATTTACTAGATCAGAATTCTAAATAAAAAAGTCATTTTTTATTAGGAAATATGAGACCGATATTACAAGATAATCTAAGATACTCTTCTAAAGATATAATGAAGATTCTATTCTACATTTTCCATATATCCTAACATCATGTGCCATAATTACTTTATCTCATTCTGGGAATATGCTTTTGTTTCTAATTGGTGAGCTGTGCCCTTGGGTTTATACATGTTCTCAAGTCTTTAGTGCTTCTCATGCTGCTTGGCAGATGGTAAGAAGAGCACTTGGTCGAACCAATTTTTACTGGGATAAACTGTTAGTTCGGTTACAAGGGCAGAGGAGGTATTTATTTGGTATTTTTAACGGGGTGGATAAAATAATTTACTAGTATACTTTTATAGGTTACAAATAAAACCATCAAATATAGATGAGACAAATAATTTACTAGTAAATAACTCTTTATTAACTTAAAGCGATTTCCTCCCCTTTCAATTCCCCAAATATAGATGAGACAAAAAAATTGAATGGGAGTGATTTTGTCATCCTACTCCTTTCCCATTTTCCTCTAACCAAACACCATAAAAAGTTAGTATAAGTATGCATCTCTTTTATTGCTTGGACTGGGGAAAATGTGCACAAACTCTTTTCTTAAGTTTGGTATTCGGGACAATTTCAGTTGGAAATTGTTGCAAATTTTGTTAATGAATAATTTCCAGCTTGTTTGACTGTAATGATATACTGATATAGAATCTTATTTTGTTTCATTTTATCAGACAGCTTAGCTAAATTTCCTCGGAGAACTAGTGGTTCATCTGGACTTCATCTTCAGGCACAACAGTCTGAAGATCAATTACAGCAGCAGTCACAGCCTCAGCAGCCACCCCCGCATATGGTTCCCCGTACTTCAAATGGTGATCAAAACTCTGTGCAAACTGCTGCTATGCAAATTGCTTCTACCAATGGTGTGACAAATGTAAATAATTCTGTCAATGCAGCATCTGCATCAACTACCACCAGCACCATTGTTGGACTTCTCCACCAGAATTCTGTGAATTCTAGACAAAATTCAATGAACAATGCAAGCAGCCCTTATGGAGGTAGTTCTGTTCAAATTCCATCCCCAGGTTCCTCTGGTAATGTGCCACAAGCGCAGCCGAATGCATCCCCTTTTCAATCACCCACACCATCCTCATCTAACAACCCACAAACATCTCATCCTGCCTTAACATCTGCAAATCACATGGGTACAGCAAATTCACCAGCTAATATTTCCTTGCAACAACAGCAGACATCCATTCCTGCTGAATCCGACACAACCGATGCCCAGAGCTCAGTCCAGAAAATCATTCATGAGATGATGATGTCCTCCCAGATGAATGGCCCAGGTGGCATGGCTGGCTCTGGTTCTCTTGGAAACGACATGAAAAATGTAAACGGGATTCTTCCAGGTAGTAACAATACGGGTCTCAACAGTAACAATGGCAGTGCCCTGGTAGGTAATGGGGCTATGAACAGTAATTCAGGTGTTGGGGTTGGTGGTTATGGCACAATGGGTCTTGGTCCATCTTCAATGACCAATGGAATGAGACCTGTAATGGGACATAATTCCATCATGAATGGAAGGGGAGGAATGGCATCTATTGCTCGCGATCAGGTTATGAATCAGGATTTGTCAACCCAACTACTTAGTGGGTTAGGAGCAGTAAATGGCTTTAATAATCTTCAATTTGATTGGAAACCATCTCCATGAGAGCCGTTGTAATCTTGTGGATGTTGCGATTCTTGGGCGGCTGCTTGTGCAGCATGAGAAATGCTGCAATTGCCCTTGGCCCCTGGAAATGGCAGAACGCAATGGGGTAGTGATAGGTCGTTGTACTAATCTGGTTGTTTTTATATATATATATATATATATAGAAATGAAAATTTGTTGGCTGGTTGTTTGGCTGATGGGGTTGATTTTTCTTTTGAATTCAATTGTAACTTTTAATTTTTGTATTTTTTTTTAATATCTTGATAGCATTCACAACTTATGCACATTCCACACATGCAAGAAAGTTGATAGCTTGGGGCTGCAAACTGCATGTGGCTATGTTCGTCAGCAGTGGACAAGCCCGGGCACCGTGAGTCTTTGCTCAACTTGAAGGGCCATGAAGACATTGAATTTTCACTCTACTCCTAAAACATGGAGTAATTGTGCCAAATTAAACATGGCATGAGAAATTATTTGTTCGGTAAACGAATTCGGGACTGAAAATTTCCCTCCGTCGGGAATTTACAGTGTAATCTTTACAAAATTTTGAAACGGATATTGGATAGGAAGTGCCTTTTGGAGCGTTGAAAACCATTAAACGAAAGATGGTCCATAATTTCTTCATTATAACATAATTTTCCAGTTTATATATCAGCATATTTCTCCACTCTTACGGACAAGGTGGACTTAGGACCTGCACCAGCAATTTCGCTTTTTTTTTTACTTGTCTTTGTTATAACATTTGTTTATATTTTAATATATTAAATTCTTTCTATCAACAAAATAGGTGAACTATTTCTGCTAGTATTAGTGTCAAATTATTTAAGGATGTCTCTAATTCTTGTAAATGAAATCGTTTTTTGAAGTATTCTTAATTTGTTTCATTATTCGAACTATTACATCCTAATGATCTTGGTAAGAATAATTCTAGAATTGACTCAACACACTCACATCAAAGGAAATATTTAAAAAGTGGTTATGAGGTGATCCAATGTGGTATTTCCTAATTCGGTAGTAATTTTTTAATAGGAGATAATGAAGTTTTTCAAGATCTTTAGATTGAAAATTGAAAATTTTCAATTTTAGTTTGATTATTGTCTTTATGATAATAGCCTCCATATAGACAATGAGACATGTCTCTCTTAGGTTAATAACAATAGAAAATAAAATGATAGATTTCGCTGTGAAATAAATTAAATTATTGTACAATAATTTTAAAGTGCTTAAACAATATGTTTGAGAGAACATCTCCTAACAATAAAATTGTGGTACAATATTTTTTTTTAAATTGTCATGCAAGAAACATGCTTAATATTAAGTTGTAAGAATGGTATAAGTGATAAATGACAATCATAGAGAATAACAGTTTATTAGAAGTCATCCTAATCACCAATGAGAAAATATGAATATAATCTTGCTTTTCAATGTGACCTTTAGCCACAAAACGAATCTTGAGTCCCATCCATCCATGCATGATATAGAGAATTTTCAATAGAAAAGGATTAAATCCTAGGTGTCACTGTTTTAGAGTGCACACATCTTATCAATCACTATTTTAGATGTTTCACCTATGGAATTAGGAATAGAAACAAAAGATAAATGAAGAAATGACAATATAATATACAGAATAAAGAAGGTGAACATTATGGTTTTCTCCAAGTAATTGGAAAATTAGGTTTAACAAGTAGACAAATAAGGATAAAAACAACAGAAAAAAAAGTGAGGGAAAAAAAAAGTAATTGGAAATGGAGTAATTTAGAGGGATGTATTTTCGACTTCAGATTTGCATATGAGGGGCTAAAAAGTGAGGGAAAATCACATTACTTTGACTAATTTGTCTACTCACTTTAACAAGAAATAATGTTGACCTGTAAGAGTGAGAACATGAAAACAGGTTTAATTGATTATATGACCTTCATAATTAATCACAATTTTTTTCTTCTATTCTCTCTCTCACTTTTGATTACCTTGTACCAAATCCAACATCTCATTCAAACAATCACACGTTACTTTTTTACATTCTCTCAATTTTTATCATTATTCACTGTAGAGAAATAAAAATAAGTCAAGTAATTAGTAAGGAGTTTCACCTACCGGTTGACGAGTTTATTAATATTAAAATGACCTATTTTAAAAAAATTATTTTAAAGTAAAAGGGAAAATTAATGTGTTTCTGTCATATTTGTATATTTAAATAAAGTTAATTTTTAAAAAAATCATGGATAAGTTTTAATTAAAAAATTGTCATGTGTATTTTAATTAAAAAAAAAGGTAGATAAAGTTGACTAGCACACACTATCCTTTTGTTAACTTAAAAATATATTTAAAAATCTTAATGATATTATAATATTGGACGAGAAAAAATAGTGAAGAAAGACGAGAAAAATGTGTAATTATTGAATATTGGGTTTCATCTCTAATAAATTTTCTTTAACCTTTTTTATTTTATTTTTAGTCCCAAAACATTATCCAAACCACTTAATTTCACTATCCAATGCACAATTTAAGATGAAAATAAAATAAAAGTTAATGAAAGATAGAAAAAAGTTAAACAAAATTTATTAGGAACAAAAAATCAAATTGGTAACTTATTAAAAACAAAAATATATTAAGTTGTTGGATTTTGCATTTCTGAAATTTAAAACATGTTAGTCTTACTCCATGCTGTCAATTTCTGTTAAAAAAGGTTAAAGTGACTGATGATGATATCCAACTAATATCATCCTTGACTAAAATCAAAAGTCAGATACATGTAAGGATTAATATATATATATATATATATATATATATATTCTCGTTTCTAGAGGATCGAACCAAACAAAATGGGAACATTAATTAACTAACACTAAACAAGTACTTTATAGATGTAGAAATATCCTATCCATAAATACATTAATTTCAAAGACCATTGATTAAAAAGCTATTATATCAATTGGTACAAAGGAAAGGGAAGCTGTTCCAATATTTAGAGCATGTTTCAGGTGAATCAATTCACTAATTGCTATATGAATATGGTTCTTTTGAAGGAATCTGTGATTAAAAGTTATACCAAACAGATTTTTTATGCAGCTTACTCGCATGCAAGAAACAATGTGCACGGGTCTTAATAAAGATTATTTTTATTCTTCTAGGTATCTGAGACCAACCCATCAGTCTGTGAACAGGTTACCATAACTGAAAGTATGCTGACAAAATTGACCTATGTATACACACAAGACTTGAATAATGTGATTAACAACACACCTCTAAAACACTTGATATCACCTCAAAAAGAATAATCCTTCAAATCAGATTTTGAGTCGCCCAATTCCATGTCTGCCATGCACTCTTCCTCAGTAAGTGGTGGGAGTTGCCTTGTCTTACGCTTCATATTGTGCTTGTGCCACTCGCTCTTGTGATGTTCCCTGTATAGCTTAGGGTCATCAAAAGAAACGTTACATGTGTTGCACTTGTTTTGCCTCTGTTGTCCCTCAGTAGGCCTACTCGTAGAAGAAATTGTTTGCTTTTGAAGTTTCTCATTCAGTTCAATTACAGAATCATGAGTTTCTTTGGGCAATGTTGCAGGCATATCCTCGTAGTCATTGTATTGTTCCACATGGGTATCCCCCTCTACATAAAGAGAGTGTGCAAGAACTTCAAATCTTCCATGCATCTTATTCATAACAAAGTCATGACAATCTTTATATAGACCAGGTTCCATTTCAAAAACCTGCAATTTAAATCCCATTAGAGATTAATACCGTTATCCCTCAACACATTAGCAGATCCAAGATTGATCATATACACCAAATTTTTTTTGGAAATGATAATGTTTCAACTGTTAACTGTAAAGGGAGACAATACACGAGAATCATGGAACAGTTTCAGAAATAGACTACCCCTTTGAAACTTCTAGGGGTTATTTGATTGCATTGGGAGTGAGGAAGGAAAGACAAAGTCCAAAAATAGAGGTGAATTTGCATTGGCTAGCACTATTCTTTGTGTTAGCAGATTGAATACGTCTATAACGAGAAATGGGAAAAACATGCTATGCTACATATCAGTCATAATTATCTAGAAGCAGAATAACAAGTCATGCTATTTGTAGCTTCATTTTAGCTAATGAACATGGCTCAACTTGAACAATTACCACATAAAATGTGGAAAAGAAAGTGACTACCCAAATTCTAGAATTAGATCATTAACTCAACTACTTGAAAGTCGACCTTTGTTAGCTCTACAAGGTTTATTTCGGCTGATGAAAGTGTCTTATGACTCTTTGAACTCTTTTGTAATTTGTCGTTATGCAGAAACTTAAAGATTATTTCACTGTGATTTTGAGTAAAATTGATGAATAAGTTATCGTATGATAAACTTCTAATAGAAGTGCTTAACTAAGTGGCTTACCCAAAAAATCCACAAAAGAGATAATCAAGACCTCACTAAAACTACCAATAATAGTCATCCTTAGTTTCACTTTCAAGTGATAATAAGGCAAGACTGAGCAATAAAAAAAACAGTACAACTAAATTTAAAATTCTAATAGAAGTGCTTAACTAAGTGGCTTACCCAAAAAATCCACAAAAGAGATAATCAAGACCTCACTAAAACTACCAATAATAGTCATCCTTAGTTTCACTTTCAAGTGATAGTAAGGCAAGACTGAGCAATAAAAAAAAAACAGTACAACTAAATTTAAAATGGAATTGAACCCTGGAACTATAGCAAGTACTTACAACAGATAACTGAGCAGAAGATCCTTCTTTAGAAACAACAGTGGCATTCCATTCCTTCAGCTTTTCTAAAAGATGAGGCAATTGGTCCTGAGGAGCAGTAGCACGTATTCTCAACGGACATCGTTTTATAGGAAAGTGCTTTTGAAGTTCTTGAATTAACTCCAGAGCCTGTATTATATAAGTTAAGAGAGTAAAGAGAGTGAAAAGAAGATTTCTAATTTTGTGGGATGCATTACTCTACTCTATGATCTCATATATATATAGGATTACAATATTTAAAACAACAACCACCAACTACTAACAACCACCAACCACCAACTACTAACCACTAACTAATAATAATTCTAACACTCCCCTCAAGCTGGAGCATACAAATTGTATGTACCAAGTTTGGAACAAATAAATTCAATTCGAGGTCCTCTTAAAGACTTTGTCAACACATCTGCAAGTTGATCATTGGACCCGACAAATTCAGTGCAAATTTCTTTAGACAACAATTTTTTCCGAATAAAATGACAATCAAGTTCTATATGTTTGGTCCTTTCATGGAACACCGGATTAGAGGCAATGTGGAGAGCTGCTTGATTGTCACAATACATCTTCATCTGTTGGATCTCACAAAATTTCAGTTCTTGAAGGAATTGTTTCACCCACACTAGTTCACAAGTGAGAGATGACATTGCTCTATATTCAACTTCAGCACTAGACCGGGCCACTACATTTTGTTTCTTACTTTTCCAAGAAATAATATTACCTCCAATGAGAACACAATATCCTGTAGTGGAGCGTCTGTCCATAGGGGATCCAGCCCAATCAGCATTACAATACCCAGATATTTGGGTACCCCCTTTATCTTCATACAACAGACATTGTCCTGGAGCTTTTTTGAGATATTTTAAGATGTGAATGACAGCATTCCAATAATCAGTACGCGGATTTTGCATAAATTGACTCATAACTCCAACGGCAAAAGATAGGTCAGGTCTGGTAATGGTGAGATAAATGAGTTTCCCAACAAGTCTTCTATATCTCAGGATCAGAGAGCGGTTCACCTTGATCCGCCATTAACTTCTGATTTGGATCCATAGGACTGTTTACTGGTCTACAATCAATCATACCTGTTTCTTTCAGGATATCTAAAGCATACTTTCTTTGGGAGACTATGATGCCTTCTTTTGATTGAACCACTTCAATCCCTAGAAAGTATTTGAGACAACCAAGATCCTTAGTTTGGAAGTGATTGCATAAATGTTTCATTAGCAAAGAAATTTTATCAACATCATCCCCTGTAATGACTATATCATCTACATATACAATTAAATAAACACATTTTCCTGAAGCAATATAATAAAAAACAGAATGATCTGCTTCACTTCGTTTTAATCCAAAACTTTGAACAATGTGACTAATCTTTCCAAACCAAGCACATGGAGATTGTTTGAGACTATAGAGAGAACGATGTAACTTACAAACCAAACTAGACTCTCCCTGAGCAACAAAACCAGGAGGTTGCTCCATATAAATTTCCTCCTCAAGATCACCATGCAAGAACGCATTCTTGATATCTAACTAATGAAGAGGCCAATAACGGATAGCTGCCATAGCAAAGAAAAGTCGAAAAGTAGTCATTTTGGCCACAGGAGAAAAAATATCACTGTAGTCAAGGCCATAGATCTGAGTATAGCCTTTTGCTACTAATCTAGCTTTGAGTCGATCAACTTCACCTTTTGGTCCAACTTTAATGGCATAGACCCAACGACAACCAACAGTCTTCTTCCCATGTGGAAGAGGAATTAAGTTCCATTTACCATTGTACTCAAGAGCCTGCATTTCATCAATCATGACTTGTCGCCATCCAGGATGATCAAGTGCCTCTTTCACATTTTTTGGAATAATAATAGTGGATACAGAAGAAACAAAAGAAAAATAGGAAGGAGACAATCTATGGTAGCTAAGAAAATTGTAAATGGGATGTGGATTACGAGTAGAGCGAGTACCTTTGCGAATAACAATGGGCCAACTTGAGTCATCATTATCAGGAATCGTGGTATCAGGGGATGATTGAGAAGGATCTGCTGAGGAAGACTCATCTTGGGACACGGGACTGATCATTTGGCTCCTGTGTTGATAGGTAATAAGAGGCAGTGATGAGGATTCCGGTGTATTTTGTGTGGAATTTTGGGTGTCAGGAGGAGGAGGTACAAATGGTTCTACCAAGGGTATAGGTAGGACATTTTGGACCGAACTAATATCCTGCATAGAAGAAGGGAAGAAGGGAGTTGACTCAAAAAAAGTGACATTAGCAGACATGTAGTACCTCTTGGTTTCAGGAGAATAACATCGGTATCCTTTTTGAAGACGAGAATATCCCAAGAAGACACATTTGATGGCTCTAGCTGATAGTTTATATAAACCTGGAGACATATCATAAACAAAACATACGCAACCAAATACACGAGGAGAAACATGAAAGAGTGAATCCTTTGGCAATAGAATAGAGTGTGGAACTTTGTTGTTAAGAGAAGATGGCATTCTGTTAATGAGAAAACATGCAGTAAGAATAGCATCTCCCCAATGATGAACGGGCATATTTCCACCAAGTAATAAGGTACGAGCAGTTTCAACCAAATGTCTATTTTTTCGTTCTGCTATACCATTTTGTTGTGGTGTGTGAGGACAAGTAGACTGGTGTAACATGCCTTGGGAGCTTAAGAGAGTGGAGAAATCAGTAGAAAAGTATTCTTTGGCATTATCACTTCGTAAAACTTTGATTACTTTTCCAAATTGATTTTTGATTTCGTTAAAGAAAGACTTAAAGATAGGTAATAATTCAGAAACGGTCTTTCATTAGATAAATCCAAGTACACCTAGAAAACTCATCAATGAAGGTAACAAAATATCTATAGCCAAAGGATGAGACACGACTAGGACCCCAAATATCAGAATGAACAAGAGAAAAGACAGAGTCAAATCTAGATTCAGAACGTTTAGGAAAAGAGGACCTAGTATGTTTCCCTAGTTGACATGATTCACATTCAAAATCTTGAAGAGTCTGAAGTTCAGGAACCATTTTTTTTAATCTTGATAAGTGAGGGTGCCCTAACCGTTCGTGTAATAGTTTTGGAGACAAGGATGCAACACAAGATACAGATGATTTAGTCCCAAGGTAGTATAAGCCTCCAGATTCATGTCCTTCGCCAATCTGTCGACCCGTACCACGTTCCTGTATAACAAAAGAGTTGGCATTAAAGGTTACTGAACAATTCAATAATTTGGTTAATTGACTTAGGGAAATGAGACTGAAGGGACATAAAGGAACAAAAAGAACAGATTTAAGTTTAAAGACGGAGAAATGGAGACTTGACCAGTTCCTTTAGAGGCTACTTTAGATCCGTTGGCTAAGGTTATGAGATGAGGAGTTTTAGGAAATGAGAGAGAAGAGAACAAAGAGGCATTACCAGACATGTGATCAGAAGCACCTGAGTCAATAATCCATGGATTTTGACTTTCCACAGATTGTGAAATGCAAGTTGTTGATGAATTTGGGGTTGTTGATGATTGTGCTAGATTACTGGATTTCAACCTCAAATATTCTTGATATTCTTCGTGAGAGAACTTGGGTTCAACCATTTCAGATTTGGAAAAATTGACAGTTTTATCAGGAAAACCGTGCAAAGAGTGCAAAGAGTAGCAATTTTCCACTGTATGACCCATTCTCTTGCAATGAGTGCACTGAGGACGTCCTCTACCTCCACGTCCTCCTCTAGTGCCGCGACTTCCTCTTCCACGGGTAGAAATCATAGCAGAAGATTCAACAAGTTCTTGATTATTTTTTTCTTTGAGAGTTGGAACACGAAGCAGTCTTGTAGTCAAACTTTCCATAGAAGGAACTTCTTGTCCAGTTAAATTTGATCTCTAACATGATCAAATTCTGAATTCATAGCCCGGAGAGTCATAACCATATAGAATTTATCCAACTTTTGTTTTATCTCCTCTAATGAATCCACCTCTAAGAACATCTTTAATTCTTCAACTGCTGATTGAGCTTCAGCAATAAAGGTCATCATATCTTTATCCACTTGCTTGAGAGAGGCTAATCGATTAGCGGAATCATAGAGGCGTTGGATATCATTTGTGAAGATATTCTGAGCTTTTTTCCAGAAAGAGTTACATGTTTTGAAGGATCTGAGAGTGTTCAAAATATTTGGTTCTACTGATTGCCACAGTAAAGCACAAAGTTGATAATCGAGCTTTTTCCATTGTTGAGTCTGATCTTCTGGTATCTTACTTCCGTCTTCTTCTAGATGATCATGAAACCCTTGTCCAAGGAACCAAAGTTCCACTGAAGAGGACCAAGACATGTAATTTTTTCCATTTAATTTCTCAGTCGTTATCGTGGGAGTTCCGGAAAAGCAGGTTGTGGGCCCTGACGATATGTTTTAAATAATGTAGATGTAAGATGGAGATAATGGAACCTGTAAGAAAGGGAACACCCAAGATAGCCGAAAGGTTACTGGAAGGTGGTCGGAAAGTCGTCGGACGACAGAAAAAAAAAAAGGGTGACTGGACGAGGGACTGACGGTTGTCGAAAAGTGACCGGAAAGTGGTCGGACAGTAACCGGAAAATGATCAGACGATGACCGGAAAGTGGTCGGACGGTGACCGGAAAATGATCGGTCGGTGACCGAAAATGGTCGGTCGGTGACCGGAAATGGTCGGACGGTGGCCGGATGGTGGCCGTACAGGCAGAGCAGGACCAACCTGCTCTGATACCAAGTTAAGGGAGTAAAGAGAGTGAAAAGAAGATTTCTAATTTTGTGGGATGCATTACTCCACTCTATGATCTCATATGTATAGGATTACAATATTTAAAACAACAACCACCAACTACTAACTACTAACTAATAATAATTCTAACAATATAAAAATACCAATATAACTTTCATAACTTGTATTGTCATCATTATAACATCGATCATTTAGAGTGGTGGGAAGAGAGACCTGCTTCTTGGAGGTGCTATGTGGATCAACAGCAAAATGGATTTCCCGCATGAGCCGTTCAATCATACTGATAGTGTAAGGGCGCTGAGTCTCAGTATTGTATGTCTTGTGCATTACTATGGTTGCAATATCCCTGAACTGACTTGACAACATTGATTCCCTCTCTTTCCCAGCAACCTGAAGCTCCCCTTTCTTTAAAATCTGCCCCCTCAAACAAAATGAGATAAAACTGTGTTATTATTATTATTATTATTATTATTATTATCATCATCATCATCATCATCATCATCATAATCATCATTATAAACTTTTGAAGTGGGCTTCCTTGCTTACATCTAAGCATATCTTGGTTTGGTCATCAGTGCCAAAAGATGCAATTAAATCCTTGGACTTGGCGAGAACTCCTTTGGAAACATTGGAATAAACAGTATGGGACTGCAGCACTTCATCCAGGTCCTTCTCCCTATTGATAGAAATTTAAATGATAATGGAAAATATGGAGTTTATGTAGCATACATACATACATACACACACACACACACACACACACACACACACACATATATATATATATATATATATATATTATTATAATGAAGAGAGGGGAAAGAAAGGAGATTACACGCCAGAACGCCAAGAGAGAACAGTGTTAGGGTAGCATGCAATTTCAAAGCGCATGCCGTGCTTCTTCAGCCGCACCACTGCCACATTAGTTAGCCTCTTCTGCCCTATTGGCTGCACTAGCGTTCTAGACATCTCTTTCTCTCTTTCCTTTCCTTGTTACTTTATGCCTTCTCTTTGCTTCAAAATTGGTTGGGTTGAACCTTGATGAATGAGAAAAAAATATACAATAAGCTCATTTTCACTGCAAATACAATGTTCTTAGATTTGACTGTTGAAACTAAACCCGTAAACATTCAAGTGGTTTTGGTTTGGAACAACCATTATGAAAACACAAATATTAGCTACAACATCATCTAAAATGGCCCAACTAGACGCTATAAGCTTTGCTCCTGATTGGTTGACCCATGTTATCTTGTGCCAGAGAACACATTAAAGCCCACAATATGAAATGTCCACAGGGTGAAAAGGCCTCTAGGACTAAGTGGGTGATAGGTATGTTAGTTGAGGGCCACAATTAATTAGATAGTTAGTTAGGGGTCATATATATTTTCTTACATGTATATACAATTCAAGTTATATTTTATGATTAACCTGTTTACTGATTTATATTTTTCAGAAAGATATTCAAAGGTTACTTGCTGCCTGAGAGCGTAATTTAGAACAGAAACGACCGCTATATGTAAATAAACCAAGTGATGCTTGCACAAGGAGTAAAAAGTTAAACTTATGATGAGCTATTAATGTATACTAACACTCCAATAACAGTTTGCAGTCACCTGGATGGAAGAATTTCTTGTGAAACAAAAGTTGTCTAAGTTGTTTCCCTCTCAGCTGCAATAAACTGTTCCTTCTGAAATTCTTTCAACACAAACTGAAAATCTTTTGCAAGCTTAGCGCGGACTATCTTCTTATATGCCTTCAGATACAAGCAAGATATTGACCGTCAGTTTTTTTCCTCAAGGGTAATTGAAGCTTGTCACCAACAATTTAGTACATTAAATATAAGAAACAAACATCCATTCAAAATGAATTCAAAACCACCTTAGCCTGAAAGGGATTTTGTGAAACTACTGTGTTGTTCATGGTGGTCAACTTCAAATAGTTTTCTCTCCAAAGACAATGGCAAAGTATAGTCCACAATGATTATTTCTTCTTATCATGTACTCTATTGTGTATGCAGATTAGTCAGCTTGGAGTAGTTGCTCTAAAATATCAGGCATTTACTCAAAATGCAACACCCAATTTATCAGTCTCAGTTAAAAAATTGCAATGTTAGAGTCCATTTTACTTTATTTTTTCAGCTTATGTCTGAGTTCCAACTTCCAGTCTTTTATTAATGATATAATTATGACATTAATGATATACATGCAAAAATGTTGCTGCTTTTAAAACTTGTACCTTAGATGTTTATAATGTGGTAACTGTTGCTTCTTGGTTTCTTGAATTGTTGCCCGATCTTTTATATGAATCTCATACAGAATGTGTTCATAGTGACTTCTAACAAAATCTTATTTTTAATTTTATCAATTTAATGGGAGATGGTACAACATTTATCCATGTCCATAACAAATATCTATGGCTAAAGTTTTTCATCTGTGTTTCCCTGCCATTACATATGTCCTAGACTGAAAAGTTCAGGAATTGCTGCCATTTTGATTACGTCTAAAATTATATATATGTATAGCATTAAAGAAGAAACTCAGGAACAAGAAGCTGTAGCAACCATTGGTGTCAGAGTATTGTTTATTGCCCTATCGTACAGTTGGTTCGTAAAGTTGTCAGTAACTTTTGTCACATTGTCAGATACATTTATAAACTGATCTGTTCTATGAGATTGTGATAAGAGAAATCATATCAATAACAGAAAATTCAATCACTCGTTTTCAGGCTCTATAATACTTTTAATTGTTAAGGTTCAAAATGGTAGGTTGGTATATAAATCCTAACCAATTCATCTCTACACGGAGCATTATGAAAAAGTGAACTATGGTGCTGCAACATAACATCTTGACAAGACAACCATATCCCACATTGAGGGGCAGAATCACCGACTCCAAACTCTTTATAACGTGATAACTGCAAGTGAAATTTTATAATCAACCATTCGTAATTTCATACACGGGGCGGAGGTACGCAAGCTCGTAAAAATTACCCGAAATTAGAGACATTCATAAGGTGGAGATAGAGAACACAGACGATATCGTGGAAGACCTGTGTGAGAATCGGAGCATTTACTGCAACAAATGAAAGGGAGAACAATTAGAGGGTGAACTAATAGAATCAGTGAGAGGACACTAAAAAAGTGAGAAATTACCGGAGATGGCATCAGAGAATGTTTCAGAAACACAAGGTGGAACTACGAAACAGATACTAGGGCACAAAGAAATAAGAGAATTGCAGAAACATAAATTTATAAGGGTGGGTAAGTTTACGAATTTACCCCCAGACTGCCACTAAACCTATGCCCTCGCTCTCGATGGGAAAGGAGATACAAGACTGTGGGAAAAAAGAAAAATGAAGATAAAAATAATAAAAGATAAGGTAGTTTGAATAGAGTAAAAGAGAAGACAAATGACTGAAAATAAATATTTTTTTTTAATAATTTTGTTAATTATTTTAATATTATTTTTTATTATTATAAAAAATACTTTATAATTAGTAAATTTTTGTTTATATATATATATATATATGGATTAAATTTGTTTATATAATGTATATTACACAAAGTCTCAACAGTTGATTTTATCAAATCTGATGAATTAGATAGGTATATACAATGGTAAATTCCTTCTTAAAAAACTAATTTTGATATATATATATATATATATATATAGAGAGAGAGAGAGAGAGAGAGAGAGTGAGTGAGAGAGAGCAAAAATAGGAACAAAATAATTATACAAGTTAATTTATATAAATCATTATGTTTAATAAAATTAACTAGTCAGATTTGGTGTAATGAATAAAGATATAATGTAAAAATCAAATCTTAACTGCTAAATTTATTAAATTTGATAATTTAGATTAGTAGATATATACTGATGTAAATTCCTTCTTAAAAAAACTAACATAAGTTGTAAATTTTGATAAAAAAAAGTCCAAACAGAATATTGATTAAATTTATTGTAAAAAAATTAAAATATCATATAATAATTGATAGATTTCCATTAGAAGAAATATAATATATAAAATAAAACCTAAGAAAATACTAAATCTTGTTGAAATCAGGTTGTATAAAACATGGAGTTAGGTAAGAGTAAATTAAACTGTTGAAATCGGTTTGCAAATATTATGAGAAAATATGGTATGATAACAGGTTGTATAGATACCAAGAAGAGTGTTGGCTAGATTTAGGAGTAGAAGCGGCGGGTAAGTAAATTTTGAAGAAGAATGTATGAGGGAAAAAATAAGAAGAATGGTAACGCTGGCAGTGCAGTCGATTTGGTTCAGAAAAAGAAACATGTTCGGTGGACTCTCGAGGAACATAGGTACGTATGAGTGTGTGCAAAAATATTCAATGTTTTAAACGTTTCTTCCTCTCTTTCAAACTTTCTGAATAAGTTTTAACTTATATTGGGTTTAATTTTGTGCCTCTTTCTTGTTTTAATAATGGTTTCTTTAAGGTTTTCAAATATTTAATTGTGGTTGGATGGAACATTTATAGCTATTATCTCGTCTTGATTTCTTTAAAGTTTTCAGATATTTAATTGTGGTTGGATGAATAATTTATAGCTATTATATCTTCTTTCTTGTTTTAATAATGGTTTCTTTAAAGTTTTCAGATATTTAATTGTGGCTCGATGAAATATGTATAGCTATTATATTTGAAATGATATTAAATATTTTTTCATAGAGAAACTTATAGTGCTTTAATTTTTTTTCATTATTTAATTATTGATTTTAACTCTGTTAATTTAATAGAATGATAATCAAAATAAATAAAATTATATATTTACATGTGATTGATTTGAGTAAAAGGGATGAAAAAAATAAATATATATATATAATAAAATTAATATTAATATAAACCTTAAATTTTAATTTATTTGAATAAAAAGATATGATAAAAAAAATTGTATACATGTACTATTTAATATTATTATTATTATTTACTCGAAGTAGGTAATTATCACACAAATCCTTCTCCTTGTCTCACTTTTTTTTTTTTTTCATCAAAACTTTGTCCAAAAATCCTTCAAATCACTAAACCAAACAAAAACATTTAGATCTTCTCAAATCATTCTTCATCAATAAGAAATAGCTTAAAACAAAGGAATGTTAAGAGAAATTGGATTTAAAATTTCAATTATTGACTATATATTTTACCCTCTTGCAATAGGTTATTTCTGTATGGAGTTATGAAATTTGGTAAGGGGCATTGGACAAGCATTGCTCGGTATGTTCTGCTGACAAAAACTCGTTCACAAATTGCTAGTCACGCCCAGAAACATTTTCTTCACCTCCGTGACAAGGAAAAGAAAAAAAGATCAAGTATTCATGACATAAATTTAGAGAATGACTTTGTCTTGGAACATGTCAAGAAAAACAACCATCCAATTCAACCGTTATACGAAGTGCACCAAGCAAGAGAAATTATGGGCTTACAAAATGATAACTTGGTTCCACACAATCCAATAGAACAAATACACCAGAATCTACAACCACAACAATTGGCAATCTTCGAAGATAATTTGGCATTTCACCACATTCAACAGCAGAGTTTGCCCCCCTCAAAAGTGCAACAATTACCACACCACATTGACCAACATGACTTGGCTCCTGTCTCGGATATACTCCAATTCTCATCAAATAATTACATTAACCAGGAGGGGTTACAAGATCTTTGGGTTACACCATTATATCCTCAAAATCAGCAATTTTCTCATTTCATTGACCAGGATGGCTGGGCTCCAAGTTCAAATCAATAGTTACCCCTGTTTTTTTATTATTAGTTTCAGCCTGTGTTTTTTTCTTTTTTCTATTTTGACTACTATCAATAAAATTGAGAATTTTGGGGACTTTGTAATAAAATAAGCTATATTCTCTAGGCAGGATGGAACTTTTTAGTAGGCAGTGAAGCTAAATCCCCTAAAATTTTGTAATATATATATATATATATATATATATATATATATATATATATATGTATATATATATACACATATACTTTTTTATTTTTTTATATTATTTCACTTTTTATATTTATTTATTATTTATTCATAATATATTATATAACTTCCTAAAATCGTTAATCTGCAAAACGAGATGTGTTATGATTGAGCAGATTCGGCATCTCATCATGAATAAAATGCCATTTTTAAGGAAAGGGCTGAGCAATTGCCCATAGGAGTTGATGATGATGGTGAAGAAAATCAAGAGCACCTAACATGAGCTTGAAATAACAAGCATAAGAAAAAATAATTTGTACAAGACATTATCTATCACCAGGTTGTGTCAAGGCAAAGGCACAGGGAGTTCCCATTTGGAAAATTGAACCAAGTTTCTGTTTACAATTGATCCATTGTGCAACCAGAATGTTTCAGCTGAGTGGTGAAATTGTCTCACTTTCCTCTGCAATTCCCACATAATTCCACGCATTGCCGAACAAGGTTCGGAATCCGAAGCATACACCCACCAGCACCTAACTTGTCGACCACGAGCTATTATTCTTTCTATTTCTTCATCTGCAATAATCAAAATAAATAAATTAGATTTAAAGCTTAAAATATACAGGAGGGGTATTGTGCGTGGAACTGGGATCTGTATTTCCACCTGGTATAGATTCCAGGTACTGCAATAGTTCAGGACCTATTCGACTGGATGGCCATTTTATTGATATCTGACTGTAATCAATGACATTCTGGAATGGCAATTCTGTTTGATCTGATAATATAACTGGAACACATTCCTGTCAAATGGAATGTGGTTATTGCTTCTCATGTAAGTCCGTCTGGTCTAAGGAGATAAGAAGGGAGTTAATAAAATACCACAAAAAAGGACTCATAAAACCGAAGTGTCCAAGATGACTCTCCACGTGGAGCAAGGCAAAACTTGGAATTGCGTAGATGTTCAAAATATTCTTTCCTTGCCAGCTTCTCAGGTCCACTGAATTTTAAATCCGGACATTCCAACTGTTTATACCATCAATACATGCCGCTTAATATTTTTTTGGTACTATGGCAAAGATTCATCTTATAGTCTGAACAAGCATAAGCATTATCTTAGTCCAGTCACTATAGAGTATAAAAGGATATGACATCTACAATGGCATATAAAGGATAGCAACGGTTAATTTTTCCTTTAAAAGTATTTATGCTGAAATAAAATTGTTTGACATAAAAAACGGATACATAATCAGAATAAACCAATAGTTTTGCAACATTCGATGGGAATGAAGCTCATTCAAAACCTAATGATTGAATTAACATGAGGATTGGATCCATGTAAATTGAAAATCAGAATTGCTCGGGCATTACAAGATTTCCATTAGCATCAATTCAAAATTGAAAGAGAAAAAAAATCCTAAAAGTGATAATCTGTCGAACTATGATGGCAAATTTTCACACGGAGAACCCACCAAGCACAGAAGATGACATACCTTCTCTGGAAACTGCTTTGCAAGCTCTATAAGCTTAAGCCGACCAGCTTTTCCTTGTGCACGTCCTAAGTAATTAGCTAAGTACTTCCGTTTAGCCAGAGGCAAAGGCTGGACAACAGTAGCCCCAGTTTTAGTCATACCATCATCAATATTACCTGGAATGATAATATCTTTCCATGTATTAAAGGCACTTGTATCTCTCTTATCAGTCCGATCCCCCTATATTGGCATGCCAAAGAATGAACTTTTAGTTCAAGGAACCTCTCATCTTAAATTGATGGAAAATGTTAGGAGCAGAAATTGAAAAGAATGAAAGAAGATATATTATATAATAGAAGATAATTAACTAAAATAGGAGATAATATTTCCCCTTCAATCATAACATTTTAAAGTACTCTTCTTTTTACTGCTATATTATATAATAAAAATATATAATAACAAATCAATTATAACTTTTCTTCGACCACTCGTGTAACTTTTCATTACTATTTATATATTACAAGTATATAATCACTAATCAATTATTAGTTCTTAAAAATGCTATTATATATTTTTATTACTATTATTGTATTATAATATGATAACTGGCAAAATATATATTTTACAAAAACACTATTTTTAGTATTATTATAAAAATACTTCATACACATTAGAGTGAAAAAAGAGATAGATATTAAAATATTATATTATAGTTGCACAAGAGCTCGTAGAATACATATATTACAGCAATCAAGGTTATTCAATCGTTTGAATCACCGAGCTATTTTTTGTGTAGTAAGATTCTGGTACAATGACAAATTATTTCAAATATAATAGATATATAGTTGAGTAGTATCAGTGATACAAAATTACATAAATGCAATCATGTATCATAGGATACAAATTCATTATGTGATATGAATCGATAATAGCCAAAAATTTATCAAATCGTAAGATTCGAATCATGAATAGATTCTGATAACTAGGATAGTAATACATATTAAAGTAGTAGGATTTAGAATGAAAAAAATCCATGTTTGTTAAATCTGACAAAACACAAATATTAAAAGGGAGAAACGAGTAATGGTCGTTTCAGAATTGGCTTTCAGCTTTACTTGTTTTTTAATCTTGATCATTCCAAAGCTTATTCTTTTCAGAATTACAAACACTAAGAAAATAACAATGCAATACTCTAGAACCAAATTCTTCATGTCTATCAAGCAGAAGGTAGTTAATAAATCATTTCACATTCAGTATAGCCATATCCATGCCATTTCACACATTCGCCACTATATTCCCAAGCTCGTTTTTGAATGACACACAATATCATCTCCAAAATTGCTGATGACACAATTCATCACACCAAACAAGAAGCTTATTTCATAGATGATAGGCCTCATATTGGCAGTTCTGATTCGCATACAAAACAAATAAACAGTAATATTAAGCAAAAGGAGTTCACCTCCGGTGTAAGAATAATAGAGCGATTTATATACGTAGCCCATGATTTGAACAAGTGAGCACCAGCTCCACTGAAAACCACAACACACAAGGCCACATCAAGAATTAGATATCAGGTGTAATTTTTTTTTTTTTTTCATAAAACAAGAAATCATGAAACAGCATTTAAAAACCATTTCACTTTTAACTTCTTAATCAGTCCGTAACTACACTAGTTATCATTTTCCTGCAAGAAATAAATAACCCTTCTTTACCTGGGGAAAACAAAGATGTGGTTGCGGCCCCCAGATAACCGAAAATACAGCATTTGGCTTATGACCTGCGACAAGTTGAATTAAAATAAAGCAATTGCAATGTCAATTGAGGGAATGATATTTAGAAACAATTCAGAATGAATTACTTTGACATAGGTGTGGTTAATTTCTTTGTCGTTAAGGCCACCCATCATGCGCGCACATTTAACGTACGACGGGACGAAGAACAGATCCGCTTCCTCTTTCTTCCGCGTCCGTTGTTTCGATTGCAGAAGAAACTTGTGAATTTTCACCTACAAATCAATCAACCATAAATTAATTAAGAAAAGTGCGAATGGAATTAGTTAATTAACTAATTGATTAATTAATTAATTACCTGAGTGCCCCACTGGCCTTTGAGGCAAGCTTCTTCCGTGACCTTACCGTCGCGTCCGTGCAAGAGTTCATTCAAGCCGTTGATTTCGTCAGGTTCGTAGACGTAGATCTTGAGGGACAGTTGCGACTGCTCCCACTGAAACTGCGGGTGTGACACGTGGACGACGCTGGTGGAGAGGGAGCAGGGAGAGAGGAGTCGCGTTAAAAAGAAGGTGGTGGCCACGAGGAAGAGGGCTCCGATCTGGTGCGTGCGCGTGCAGAGAGGCTGGGGGTGGTGGTGCGGCGACATTGCTCTCCATTTGTTGGACGCGCTCATGGAAGCTCTTTCGTCGAGGAAGAGTGTTACCAAGTGATGAAGAAGTTCACGAGGACCAATCTGAAGTCAATAAGCGAGGAACGACGTCGTCGAACAAAACGGCGAGAAAGATTCAATGTACGATTCACGACTTCATGGAAATGGATTCACCGTTCCTCTTCAACGGGACGAATAGATGAGAAGGGTTTCGCTCCAACCAGATCTTTGCATTTCCCAATTCGATATTCTTGCCTCTGGAGTACTGTGTCTTTTTTTTTTATTAATATTAAATTGTATTCAATGTCGTGAAAAATAATTTTGTCATTAAACAAGTTATAAGACTACATGGTTGAAGTGAGGTTTAACACCTATTAATAAAATAATGTCAAATGCTATATATTATAACATTACAAAAATATAATGTTAATAAAAATATTACTACCTACCTTTAATACAATTTTAATATTTAAAATGTATATAAAAATCATTAAGTATATAAAAATACTTATGTTTTCTTTTTACTAATAAAATAATATTTTTAAATAATGACAAATTAAATTTAGAATATTAAAAAAGTGACGAATACTTCAGATTATTTTCTATTTTTTTAAGGAATTTTCATTAACTCTCTAGTTTTTATAGAATTTTCTAAGTTTTGGACAAGTGCAACTTTGATTCGATTTCGTGGTTGATTTATTAGTTCAATGCAATTTTAAAGAATATTAATATTAAATTTTTTTAGAATAAAATTACAAGTTTGATCTAATTCATTAACATAGCATGTATTGATGGAGCCATTTTTATGGGATTATTTTTCAAATATAAGGTAATAGGAAAACAAATAAAGTCAGAAATCTTTTGTAAATGATGTAATGAGACTAAAACTCGATAAATCTTTTGTAAATGTAGTTTGTACATTACTTAATAGTTTAATCAATATATAAATATATAATATGTGATTTAACATTTATAGTTATGTGACTGTGTCTTTTATAACAAGGCCGAAATAACTTGTTTTTGGTAACCCAAGTTCTGAAAGTCTAACCCATCAAAGTTATAGGTTTTGGGCCAATCCATGGCACAGGGATCAAATTCTTGTTAGAGGAGACAAAGTTATAAAATTGTTACATGTGTTGACATATGAAGAGTGCGGCGACAAAGCAGGCATGGCCCCTGCAAGCCAAACCATACTAGAGCAGACAAAAACGAACGCAGAAAAAGCTTCGGTCCTTACAGTTTGTATGCTTTTTGTTGTTAGATATAAACCCTTTCTCAAATCATGTCACATACAACATAAATTTATTCAAATTTCATATTTCCTTTCAGAACAAGCAATTGCAAGTTTAAACAGCATAAAAAATCATGTTAGAATAATAAAAATAATATCTTTATTCATCAACAAGTCTTCTATATAATTTCTATTGAATATACTTTTATAGTATAAAAATAATATTTTTTATTCATCATTAATTTTATTTTACTTTAAATATGCATATTAAATAACTAGTTTTTTAAATTATTTATTCGAAGTTTTAATTTCTTACCTCTCCTCATATACGTTTAACAATGTCAAACATATTGAAAACTTAAATATATATTGTAGACGAGATTATCACTACCGCGAAAAAGAGACACGTGATTTTCACTGGTCGTTTTTTTTTTTTCTACGCACATATTCAAATAGAGGTTTTTTTTGTTTCCTCAAATATAACTTGTTATCGTGATTTTTCTTTAACATACATATAGTTTTTTTAATACCATGGAGATTATTTTTATTCTTAATTGTTTTTTGTATGTGAAAATTAATAAGGTTTATGGAATCCGTAGTAGCACAGGGAAATTTTGGTTTATCTAAAATGAAAGCGTTATATTTGGAGGATAAACTACAGTAATAATTATTAGTTATAAATTAATAATCAAGATTATAATTAATTTTAAATTTTGTTAGATGGCAAATTATGTATTATATCTCTTTATTGTTGATGTGATTCTCATCTAAACGTGGAGTTTTATTTTTATTTTATTAAATAAGTTGCATGTTATTAATATGAAGCTATAAATATAATAAAATAATAATAAAAATAATATTAATATGAAGCTATAAATATAATAAAATAATAATAAAAATAATATTAATATGAAGCTATAAATATAATAAAATAATAATAAAAATAATATTAATGATTGTGTATTTAAGATTTTTCTATTATTGAAAATATATTTGCTTATGCCAATCATTAACCCTAACAACCAGAAACATAGTACAAGTAAATCACCCCTCTAGCGAAGGGCAAATCGGTCCATAAGCACCCTATAAATTAAAACCCCCTCGTTTCCATTTCCCTCACTCTTCTATCTCTCACGTTCACATCACACCAAAGCAACAAAAGCACACCATTATTCTCTCTGAAGATGATCACGGGAGAAGATTTGTACAAGGTGATGTGCGCCATGGTGCCTCTGTACTTCGCAATGCTGGTGGCGTACGGTTCGGTGAAATGGTGCAAGATGTTCAGCCCGGAGCAGTGTTCGGGCATAAACCGGTTCGTGGCGGTGTTCGCCGTTCCGGTGCTCTCTTTCCACTTCATTTCGATGAACAACCCGTACCAAATGGACACCAGGTTCATCATTGCGGACACGATCTCCAAGCTCCTCGTGCTTCTCTTCCTCTCGCTTTGGGCTCTTTTCTTCGCCAAAGGCTCCCTGGAGTGGCTCATCACTCTCTTCTCCCTCGCCACCCTCCCCAACACCCTCGTCATGGGTATTCCCCTCCTCCAAGCCATGTATGGCGACTTCACCCAGTCCCTCATGGTGCAACTCCTCGTCCTTCAATGCATCGTATGGTAACCAACCAACCAACCAACCCAAACCACTTCTTCTGTTTCAACTCAAAAGTTCAAACTACAATACATTGAAGCTTGAGCAAAATATAATTCTTTATATATTTGCTTTCACTTTCTTTTTCTTTCCTATTATCCAACTTACAAGGAAAAAAAGAATTCAATGATTTTGTTTAAAATGGTTGAAAACAAATTATACCAACAATTTTGAATGAAATACATACTTAGTTAAAAAATACTTTTTTTTTTTTCAGTTATTTGATTCCACCTTTTTTCTAACTTTGTAATATATTACACGATCCATATTCTCATCCTTTTTTTTTCTTTACTTCTAATGACACTTTTTATTATATCTATTAATTTTTCTCTGCCTATCTCTTTTTAGCCATTTTACATTTTTTTTATCGTAACACAAATGTAATACTTTTGTCCAAATAAATAGTTAGAGTATTTCCTAAAACTTATATCACTAGTCATGTTAGTTTTTAAATGGTACAAACTACGATATACTTAATATTTGGTGGAGCAACTCAGAAGAAAGAAATGAAGTAAGTAATTTTAATTCTTAATTAAAAATCAATAATAGATAATATAACATTAAAGTTCTAATTGAGTTTTATTAACGATAACAAATATTAATTATTGAAATTCCGTTACCAACTTATTTTACTGACAACACTGTATATGGGAATCATGCAAACGCATAATGAATATTAATGAATGTTTACTAGAGCTTATTTTAAAAAGTATTCGTTCAATTTTGCATTCAGGTGAAATTTATTTGCTATCATTCGTAATTAACTAATTTTGCTTCTTATTCTTTTTTCTTTTTTTTTCTTTTTTTTTCAATTTGACTCAACCCACGTGTGGGTGAATGGTGTTATGCTTCAGGTATACTCTCCTTCTGTTCTTGTTCGAGTACCGAGCGGCGACGCTTTTGATCCAGAGGCAGTTTCCGGGGCAAGCAGCGGCGTCCATCACGAAATTCGAGGTGGACGGCGATGTGATATCGTTGGACGGCCACGACATGCCGCTGCGGACGGAGTCGGAGACCGACGACCACGGCCGAATCCGGGTGCGGATCCGGCGATCCGTTTCGTCGGCGCCGGAATCCAACTCCTCCGTCGGCAACGCCGCCGTCCTCACTCCGCGACCCTCCAACCTCTCCAACGCCGATATATTCTCCATCAACACGCCGCTACACCTGCACGACGGGGACCTCCCCGCAGGCGCCAGCCCCCACCTCTCCGGCTATGCCTCCTCCGACGCGTACTCGCTGCAGCCCACGCCGCGGGCCTCCAACTTCAACGAGATGGAAGCCGGCACCCCCGTCTGGGGGAGGTCGCCGGTCGCCGCCGGAAGAGTGGGCCGCCAGTCGTCGCCGGTGGCTAGGGTGGTGTGGGAGTCACCGGGGAAATATGGTGGAGTAGAAGAGAGACAAGGTTGCAAGGACATTACTCTTTCAGGTACATATGTGTATTAAGTGGGTTTTTTCCTCCTTGTTTTTGGTCATATGAGGTTCATTTTTTAATACTTTTTTTTATCTAAAACATTATAACATATCTTATTATGAATTATAACTAATTCAAAACTAACTAAGCAGCAATTTTCAAAACAGAAATGTTATGGCGATACATCAAATTTGTAATAGTATATACATCTTTTCTTTTCTTTATCACTTTTATTATTACTTTCTCTCCTCTTTTTCTATTATTTCACCCGAGTTTCTTCATCGGAACTCATAGTTAAAACTTTTGTCACAGAAAAGTACACTAAATATAACTATTTAGGCCACTAATGTTTGCCACAAACAGTGTAATAAACTAGGAAGACAAATATTATATCTCTGCTTATCAAAAGTTTTTCTTTTCTTCATATAGTATTAATGTTCGTTGGGTTTTTTTTTTCTAAAAACATTCCTTTTTATTTGTTGATATTATACTTTTTATTACAATTTTTTGAACTATCCTCGAAGAAAAGTGAATACACAGATAAATACTATAAATAAATTGCCACTGATTAACAGCTAGAACTTATGAATTATGATTGTTTTCTCTAAATAAAAAATAAAATAAACTTTGAGTGTAAAACATAAAATTGTTTAAGGTGATGATAGTGGAGAAGTGTAGATAGATTATATAGCAATGGTCCCGCGAGTGAACGGTGTCGTTTAGCGGGAATGACAAAAAGTAGAGATGTCATTTTAACGGCAGTGGTTGTTTGGCATCTAAATCAGAATTATGAAACATTGATTGTTGTAGGTTATGCTTACGCATGCCCATGCGAGCTTTTCAGGCACTGCGCGTACGTTTTGTCCCCGACCGTCGTCAGCTAATGGTCTTTGTCGTACTCTCATCTATTCATTGCTCATGTCACTCATACTCACAATTTGTTAAGCTTTCACCTTTTTTTTCCTCATAAATTTCCTTCCAACTATTTTATGTTTGAACCATCATATATTGATAACCTTCCAACAAAACAATTCCAAAAATAACTCATTTTATTAATATAATAATCATAAAAAAAATTAATAAAAATAAAAAAATTAAAATTATTATTATAATATAAAATACAGTTATTTAATGGATTATTTGTGTGAACAGTAGTGTCAAAATATGTTTTCCTTTGTATGAAACCAGTACAATGAGAAATTATATATATATATATATATATATATATATATATATATATATATATATTTTACAATTGTTTAACTAAAAACTTTTTTATATTCATTTTTGTTTTTTTCATCTCCCATCTTTTTTAGTATTATTAGTTTGTTTTGGCATTTTTATCCTCTCGTTATACATTCCGTGGGATGGGAAGTGTCTGTCATTTTACATTTCCTTTATTAGTATCCTATTTTTTTCATTGACTAAAATCAGGAAAAATTCGTCTATGGATACCCCAATACTAGATAGTACCTATAGAGAGAAAGAGTGAAAAACTTAGGTGTGATGAATAAAATGTTAGGAAAAATATAAATTTCAATAATAAATATAGGAGCGTCTATATTTTATTATTCTATAACATAAAAACTTTAATTTTATTCATTATTACCGTTCATCAATAAAAAAAACCTGTTAGTTGTATAATTTTCAGGATAGATAATATAAAAGTAAAAAAATTATCTTATATAACCATATATTTGGTTGATCTGTATTTTCTAAAATAAAACATATATTTTAGTCTACTTGTAAAAAGATCTATATGATGGAACACTAATTTAATTTAATTTTACTCACTATTAAATATTCTAACGTAAATTCATTTTTATTTTGTGTTTATCAATCTGCATGTCTCGGTAATTAGAAATTTGAGATATATGTGTACAAAATATTGATTATATATATAACATAATTGATTACATTTTATATTTCGCTTTCTCTTATGATCACAAATTACGTAGCTTTCCCCTCCTTATCATTTCTGAAATGAAACAAAAGACTTTTTATGTCCTTCATCTTCGAATTGCTGAAACAAATAAGTTCAATATGCATACATATTCGTCTTTGCATATCTGCATCATTACCAACAGTACCAATTGCAATCGCGTAAAGAAGCGAAGTGTGAATGTACATGCAATTTGGCTTAAGCATGGGTTTTATCTTCAAGAGAAACTTGCATCTTTGAGCTCTAAGTGCTTTCCTTTGCGAAATTATTATTGTTTCTTTCGTTATCTTCCATCATAAACTGTAAACTATGTACGTGAGAAATGACTATACATATTAAACTCTGAAAGATGGGTTCATAATTTGATTTTAGATCCTCAGGACTACTCTGGAGCACTAGACAGGTGGTCCCTCCCACCCTCTCACGCCATCTCTAAAGTGAGAAAACATCTAGTTACTTAAAATGTAAAAAAATACAAGTGGTCAAAGCATTATAGAATTATTACCTTTATATATAAATTTGCCACTTTACTTAGTCAGAAGCTTAATTGATAGTAGCCATCATTTGGAAGAGAGCACGTGTGTAATGATGATAGAAGTAGTATCATTTCCTAATTGGTGGTGAAAATGGTGTACAGTCTTCCAAATCATACCACCGAATCATATAGGCACCTAAATTTTCATTTTTTTCACACTGTTCTAATCATTTACTTTTATTTGTTTTTTTATTTTCACTTTGCCTTCTTGCATTTATACTACTCAACTCGAATAAATTTGTTTCTGCTAAAAATATTTATAGAGAAAAATTTAAACATTTGTTCACCTGAAAGATAAAATAAAAGATGTTTTTAAGAAATATTTCATACTGGCATTTTCGACATATTTTACCATCATATTTCAATTTTTTTAAGACTAGTTGTTCCTTTTCATTTTATCTCATTTACGCTGGTTCACATCTTCAGTGCCTGTCAAGATCACTCATTTTGTCAAATATCCTACTAAATAAGTTATTTTATATTATCAAAAATAAGAATGTTACATAGATACTAACAGTGTGATGGGTGTCTTTATTTATCTTTTTGCAGTGTAAAATATCACAAGAAGTGTGAAAGTAATATTTTTTATTCTTAATTGTGATTTAAGTCTCCCTCTAATTATTCACAATCAACTATGAAATGCAGGTGGCAGAAGATTGAGCTTAATTTGTATATATCTAAATACTGTTTTTTTCTTTTTAATTATTTTTACAATCATGACAGATAAAGAAATCAGCTTCAGAGACAGCACCAAAGTCCCAATGCCGGTGGATGCTGCAGACCCCAAAGACACAGTTGCCAACGACCAGAAAATGCCACATTCCTTTGTCATGATGAGGCTTATACTCGTTGTAGTAGGAAGGAAACTTTCTCGAAATCCTAATACATATTCTAGTGTATTAGGACTTCTTTGGTCTTTAATCTCTTTCAAGTAAGTAATTATAATACTAAATATAGTGAACCCATCTTTCTTCACCTTAGACTAAACTATTTCTCTCATCGTAAAATTTCAGATTCAGAAACCTATTCTGTATATAATAATATATAATTAGCAGCTATGTAAGTTCCATACATTTACTGATGTGATTTTGCAGATGGAATATGGAAATGCCAAGTCTTATCAAATCATCCGTCAAAATCATCTCAGATGCGGGCCTTGGGATGGCTATGTTTAGCTTAGGTACGTACATTACAAATATGTAAACAACTTTAATTATAATATCACTCCATGCTTATTAGTTTCATATATACTATTGCCTCTGTATTAAATGTAAGAAGAAGAAAAAAACCATATTGAATAAACTGAAATATAAACAAAGTTAAAGCAATGCAATCATATTTAAAGTTATTATTAAAACAATATTCCTAAGTTTAAATTTATTACCATTTTCAACAAATATGATAAAGGATATATATAGTTTAAAAAAGTTTTAGCGACCTTAAGTAACACTAATAATATGAAAGTCTGGAAGAAGTGGTATACATCACCATCTGCCTATGGTCTCAATCAATTTCTGCATGACATGATGATTTGTCCATAAAGAAAGAGAACCAGAGAGACGTACACACACATGGAGTTTCTTTCTATATATATATATATATATCCATGTTACACAAATCCCCTGACCTAATATCAAATTAGAGAGGAAGACAAAAGAAAATTAAGGGGCTAGACAAGTGAAACACATGAGTTGTCGTGTACTCGGGTGTTTTTGGCGACTAAATAAAATAAATGTGATATGTCCCTATAGCACATGATGTTGGAGGGAAAAGAGAGCATGTAAAATAAAAGAGTTGTTATTGTGAAGATGAGTACAAAAACAGTAGTCCTATATCTATTTATACAAACAGTGACAGATACACATTGCCAAATGCAGGGCTTTTCATGGCCCTTCAGCCTCGCATCATAGCCTGCGGAACCAAAAGGGCAGTTATGGGCATGATCATTCGCTTCCTGTGTGGGCCTCTTGTAATGTCTGCCTCTTCCATTGCCATTGGATTAAGACATGACAGACTTCACACTGCCATTGTACAGGTACTTGGACTATACATATATGTGGAATGACTTCACATCTGCAGGCACATGCACCACATGGAAATTGTAGCTCATATACATGAGAATAATGGGTTTATGCTTCTAGGGTCATAAATTTTGCTAAAGGGAAAATTTAATACATCCTGTTGTAGTTAGACCAATAACTGAAATTGCTGTACATATGTTTTTAACTTTGTCTCAATATGCTTCCTCCAGGCTGCTCTGCCGCAGGGAATAGTGCCATTTGTATTTGCCAGAGAATATGGACTGCATCCTGATATTTTGAGCACGGGGTAAGCTTGGAATTTTTACTTATGAGACATCTTTATTTGGCATTGATTCAATGTGTATAGCATCTTAATAAATTCAAAAAGTTACAAACTGAAATGGAAAACTAATGTTTAAGATATATAAAATTCCAAGGCTGCTTGTCATGCTGTCGTTGTTGGCTACATTGGATTATATGTGGAGGAATATGCTTTTCAGTTTCTTAATTAGAAGTCGGACCCGGAATAGTTTAATGATACAACATCACGGTGCTAGTTGTGTGAGAGTGGTGTACTATTCATTGCAGAAGGTTGATTGGAGGATAAAGTACTCAGAAAATTAAATGATGGGAAGACAAAGCAAAGAGTACTGTATGTTCACAGGCATTGTATTGAACTTTTAACCTACCCCACAGAATAAATTGATTATTATGCAGGATTAGCTAGGATAGGATACCGAATCTATCAAACAGATTGTCCATAACAACCAGGGCATGTATATTCGATCATGTATAATTATGTTGTGTTAATTGTGATTGAAAATGCATTTGTCTTTTCATGACGAGTTTCCCTCAAAATTTTAACCTCGAAAGCATTTTGGAGCACCGTCTTTTACCTTGTTAATAGGTAATCATTAGTAGACAAAGAATTTTCTTGATACTGAAAACCTAGAGAAGGCTTTCTTGCAAAACTTGATCCAGTAAAACTTTTAACCCCACCATTTGGTGTCTACATATGTAGATTACCTTTCTAGTTACCCTTTAGGTCAAATTAAATCAAGTTAATGTTATTTATGTCATTCACGATGTAACAGATTGCTTTCGTTTTAACTTTCACGGCAATGCTTGTATAGATTAACTTGCAATTAACATTTGCTCTCGTTTTTCTTTTGCAGGGTTATCTTTGGCATGCTAGTTTCGTTACCAATAACTCTCTTATATTACATATTTCTTGGCTTATGAAGGGAAAGAAGAAAAGTTACAATCTCAGAGAAGAATCAGTGCATGAAAGAAAGTATGATTCAAACTATAATAACCCTACTACTAGACTAGGTGGGGTAATATATATATATATATATATATATATATATATATATATATATATATTAGATATGTATAAATATTGGAAAGCTTCTAGGTTTTCCCCATAATTCTGTCAGCACCGACCACAATTATATACGAAGGCTTTCCATTATTGTAGACACTACCTGCGGAGAAGGTTGACTTTGGCAAGGCCAAACTTTTTCAAAACACACAAGTGTTATATGGTTGCACGTAATACAGAGGTGTGACAGAGATGACAGAGAGTTGTAGCTAGGATTCATAGTTCTCGACATGCCCTGCTACATAGATTAGTGGTAGCCGAAAGGGAAATAAATATTATCATGACCAATTATTAAGGTAGGAAACTTGCTTTCTTGTTGGAGGTTGGAAAAGCTTGTAGGAACAAATGTTGACCCCTCCTCACCCCATGTAAAAGTTGGAAGGCGACATTTAGCCAGATTTATGGCACACTAAGGTGATTAATCTTTTTGTCTTCAATATATCAAACCAGTGAGATTATAGTAATTGAGTGTGTGTGAAACAGATGCCTCATCACAATAGAATCAAGGCTTTCAAAAGCATATTTTTTTCTTTTCTTTTGATGGAAGAAGTGTGGGGTAGGGTTGAGGTGTAGCATACAACAGTGACAAAATAAGGTTATTACTTATTATAACCACCAAACGTGTCTTTTCCAACAAATTATTAAAATAAACATAAAAGGTTTTCTTCTAGCAGAAGCCTTCCAACATCATAGTTTCTTTCTTTTGAGGGGAAAACCAATTCATATAAATTATGTTCTTGCTAATAAAGTATAGTGCAAACCTTCTTTCCCTAGGTTCTGGCTTTTTTTCTGAAGTATGTTTGGAAAATATTATTGATGAACATTTCATGAACAAATAATTAACATAAACAAATTTCGTAATTGATAACAGTTAGCCGTGTTTAATGATTGTCAAATACACTAAAATATCTGCGAAAAGTGCAATACTTTGTTAAAGGAAATTGATGTTAAACCTTTTTCCATAACTGGATCCTTATCTATGGATCTACTGCTTATTTACATTAAGTTTCTTCCAAAATAAAAGGTTAGAAGATACCTTTTCATATGAATAATAAGGGGGTGAATTAGGATAAGGTGAACATTTTTTGGAAATTTAGGAATTTAGTGATAAGGTAGATGGAAAAAATTATTTTTTTCAAGGAAATCAACTCATAAAAGATGTGAAAGTCCTTTAATTCAGGCAAGTGTTCTTGAATCACTCAAGAACTTAGGAGAATCACTCTCACTAAGATAAAAGAGATAAACTCTAATATTTCTAAAAATAAAACTCAACTTGTTATTTTTGATAAAAATGGTTCAGCTTATAAAGAAGTTTTGTCATCAAAGTTACAAAGATTCACTAAAAAAAATGCTAATAATGGTTTATTAATCTACGAATTAAAAACTACTTAATGATTGATTGTAACTGAAATTGTGGTAACCAAAAGTCAATCAGTTATGCACCATCTTGGTCTCCCAAATACTGATAATTAAATTTTCAATTGGACTCTTATTACAACTTGTAATAAAACCAAACGAAAGTCCATTAATTGATTAATCCAAAACACAATTTGGTCAACCAACAATACTTGTTGAAAAGCTTCCTTTGTTTTTCTTGTTCTAGCCCTTATCATAGGTCATGTTCACATCATTCTTTCCCTCTTGAAAAGGATTTGTCCTCAAATCGGATTTGTCATCTACATTAAAAAGAGATACGTCTGACAAATTAAATATATAACAAACATTATACTCACTTTTTATGGCTAAATAACTTTTTACTCTTCTTTTTATCACTTTTTTTCTTCTGAAGTGTTTCACTAACGCTTCTTTTTTTCTCTCTTTTCTTGAAAATAAATTTCTCTCATTTTCTTTTTATCCTCCTCTGTCATCAATTTGATGTTCAAACCTTTAAACCGGAGCTTGATACCAACTGATATGAATTACAAGGGGTGATTTAGGATCTTTAAGGTTAGAACCTTATAGGAAATTTAGGAATTTAGTGATAAGGTAGAAGGAAATAATCACTCTTTCTAAGGAAGACAACTCACAAAGGATGTGAAAGTCTTTTGATACAGTTAAGTGTTATTGAATCACTCAAGAACTTAGGAGAATCACTATTATAAAAGAGATAAACTCTAATATTTCTAAAAATAAAACTCAACTTGTTATTTTTTATAAAAATGGTTCAGCTTATAAAGAAGTTTTGTCATCACAGTTACAAAGATTCACTAAAATAAAATAAATGCTAATAATGATTTATTAACCCACAAATTGATTGATTGTAACTGAAATTGTGGTAACCAAAAATCAATCTCTTGGTCTCCCAAAGACTAATAACTAAATTTCTAATTGGACTCTTGTTACAACTTACAATAAAACCAAATTAAAGTCCATTAATTGATTAATTCAAAATTTAATTTGGTCAACCAAGAATCCTTTTCCTGCGTATTCAATATTTTGGAAAGCACAGTTATATGTGCAAGTATTTCTCAAGAAGCAAAAGCAAATAGCAATACGTTGTTACAACAAGTTTATACATATTTTGATGGCTGATCAAGAATTATCCAAGACCTGTGCACGAACCACTTAACCTGATCCGGAAAAATAAGAGTTTTGGATCAGAAAAATGAAAGATCGAGTTTTTAAAATGTAATTTGTAAGATAATCTTTGTAATGATATCTTAATTGATTTGAAATTTTCTAATACACTATTATGGAGAGGATCAAATATATCATTTGTTTGATAACATGTAAAATAAGATTTTAAATCTATTTATACATTATAATTAATATGAGATTAAATAATTGAGCATAAATTGATAAATTTTGTTGATGATATTTTTAATTTTTGTGAAAGTCAATCTAAACCAGTGATTATGACTACAACTGGTTGCATAATGCTGATACGTTTAGAATGTATTAAGCCTTGTGGTTCAGTTTTATGTTACGTTCCACGTCAATGCATCTGAATCTTTTTTTTTATCCACTCTTTTTTGCTTTAGATTCTTGACAAACAAAATAATAAAACAGAATATAGGTGAGAGAATGCTAATAACTCTTGAAACCTTTTTTTTTTTTCATCTATTTTTGTAATCACATTTTTTTTTTCTTTTGATTTCTGTTTGAGAAAAAAAAAAAGAGTACAAAACACTACAAATTGAAATTATATTTCTGCATTTTTTGTCTAGTCTGGGTCAAAGTTACGTGGCAACATGCAGAAAAACCAAAGGCGGGATTGCAGAGGAAAAGGGAAGACAGAGAGAGAGAGAGCATGCAACTCGAGCATGGCCATTCGATTTCGAAGATGGCGCCGGTGGGAATAAAGGACCGCGCGCAACGTGGTTTTGTTTTATGCCTCACCTTTCCCTGCGTTTTCTTCCCTCTCTTACCATATAAGTAGCCTCTCCAAACCAACGCTTTCATCCCAACAAAAACTCTCTCATCTTCCTTCACTTCATATTTCTTCGTTCCAACCATGTCTGACACCACTGGCCAGACCATCAAGTGCAAAGGTCACACTTTTCTTACTTCACTCTCATTTTCATTTTCTTTTCTTTTCTTTTCTTTCTTTCTTTCTTTCTTTCTGTTTTTTGTTATGTGTGATCATGTATTATTGTTACTGATTGGGTTGCATTGTCACAGCTGCAATTTCATGGGAGGCAGGGAAGCCGCTGGTGATTGAAGAAGTAGAGGTGGCGCCACCCCAAGCAGGGGAAGTCCGTTTGAAGATCCACTTCACCTCTCTTTGCCACACCGATGTTTATTTCTGGGAAGCCAAGGTTTGCATGTTACAACATTATCTTGCAGGGATGATATACATCCAAAAAAACATTAAAAAAATACATAATGATATGAATTATAATATACTTATCTTATTAATTAATACAGTTACCTTATATTTTTACTGCATACAAAATGTGTAATGAACAACTAAAATGTTCATCTACATGCAAACAAATAAGTGATGGATATATAATCTTTGGAGAGTGATAGAAAGGAAAAAAATGCTAAGGTGTTTACTAAAAAGTGTTTGTATATCATATATCTTATTAGATTCATGTATGCATGCGTTACGTATAATCTTAGTTAAATTAAACTTATTATGTAGCTAACGTGATTTGATTTTATTGAATAAGATATATATAGTGGTGATTAGCAGATACAAATCTGATGTCTATCAAAGGTTGGTTTTTGTTGTTTTATTGGTAGGATCTAGCTTTTGTGAGAAGGGTAAGCTAAGTAATCTTATAGTGTGTTTGGGAAGTCGATCATCTCCATGCAAAGTTTAACTTAAACTCAACAACGATGCTGCATACTTCCTTCTGTGTTTGCTCTCTTGAAAAGTGAGATAGTACGTTTTTGAACGACCAACCAAACGCATATTTAATTGTTGATAAGAGTAATGTATATGTAATATTGACGGTTGATTTTCTCAACCAGTTAGTTATGTTACTCTCTAGAGTGAATCAAATGTGTTTTTTTATGACCATGACAGTGGTGTGACTACTAATACGGTTTCTCTCCAACGACTATTTTCACCATGGTTGATCATTTCTCTTTGAACAATATTTTTTCCATCCACAAATCTGAGATTTTGTTTAAGAAATCGAGTCACTTATTATCAATGACATGCTGAGCTAGATCCTTTGTAATATAAATGTGTTTTGAAAGACTGGAAACTTGGGCATTGTTTTCCCTTCTATTCTTCTAGTATTCCATATTATATGCATCATCAATGCATTGGTATCTGACTCGATTTTCCTTTTTTTTATTTTCAGGGCCAGACTCCATTGTTTCCTCGCATTTTTGGCCATGAAGCTTCAGGGTATCTTGGCCATACTTGCCCATTTAATTTATCTAATGCTTCTCTTTCGTGTTTTTGTGCAACTAGTACCTGCATTAAAGAGTAAAAAAATTAAGAAGGAGGGTTCATCCATAAATAATGAGCAATTGCTAGCTAGATTTCCATTTTTTTTTCAGCGTTGTGGAGAGCATCGGCCAGGGTGTGACTCATTTGCAACCAGGAGACCATGCTCTCCCTGTGTTCACAGGAGAGTGTGGGGAATGCGTTCATTGTAAGTCAGAAGAGAGCAACATGTGTGAGCTCCTTAGGATCAACACCGATAGGGGTGTCATGATCAGTGATGGCAAATCAAGGTTCTCTAAGGATGGAAAACCCATATACCATTTCTTGGGAACCTCTACATTCAGTGAATACACTGTTGTTCATGCTGGATGTGTTGCAAAGATCAACCCTGCTGCTCCACTTGATAAATCTTGTGTTCTCAGTTGTGGAATTTGCACAGGTTTGGAAGTATACAACCTTGAGTGTTCAGATAGAAATATATAATGTTTTTATGTAGCAAACTAGGAAGGTGATAATATTTTCTGATATAATATATTTCGTTCCATGTCGTAGGTCTTGGTGCTACTGTTAATGTTGCGAAACCAAAACCTGGTTCGTCTGTTGTCATTTTCGGACTTGGAGCTGTTGGCCTTGCAGTATGTTATTCCTTTCACGTTTTATAGTGCTGCTTTTGGCTACTGATAATGAGTTAGAGGAATACTAATTCCCACTCTTGATTTGCAATCACTATTTTAGGCTGCAGAAGGGGCAAGGATTTCAGGTGCTTCAAGAATCATTGGAGTTGATTTAGTTCCAGCACGATTTGAAGAAGGTATAATGCATTCTTCATGAGTCAGGTGTTTAACGATTCAGCACAGCCTAATTAAATTCTTTTGGTTTATCGATGGTAGCTTATGGTTTTATTTTTGTTGGCAGCTAAGAAGTTTGGGGTTAATGAGTTTGTGAACCCAAAGGATCATGATAAACCTGTACAACAGGTTAGTTCTTGAACAATTTGTTGAAGTTCAAAACCCTTTTCCACGGCTAGTTATACTATTCTAGTTCTAGTCTCACCATGTTGGTTAATTCTGTTCTTCTAAAGCTATTTGTTAAACCTCTCAATTCAGTTTCGATTCTGACATTATTAATAAATAGTATCTTAGTGTCAATGTTTGAACAAAGATAGATTAAGGAGTGAATGTTGGAGAACAGGTAATTGCTGAAATGACCAATGGAGGTGCTGATCGGGCTATTGAATGCACTGGCAGCATCCAGGCCATGATTTCAGCATTTGAATGTGTCCACGATGTAACTGAATCATACCTCATTGTCTCTTATTGACAAAACGTTGAATTAAGCTATTTGCTAAGGCTAAACCTTGGTTTCTTCTTCTTAGGGTTGGGGTCTTGCTGTACTTGTTGGTGTGCCTAATAAAGATGATGCATTCAAAACTGCTCCTATTAACTTCCTGAATGAGAGGACTCTTAAGGGCACCTTTTATGGTAACTACAAACCACGCACTGATCTTCCTTCTGTTGTGGAAAAGTACATGAGTGGGGTAAGCTTACATAGTGACTTGTGTGGTCTTTTGGAGAACCAATATGGGAGGAGACTCACTTATTTACTATGTTGCTAACCTGATCCTTATGGATATTGCAGGAACTACAAGTGGATAAATTCATCACTCACTCAGTTCCATTCTCAGAGATCAACAAAGCATTTGATTACATGCTGAAAGGACAGTCCATTAGGTGTATTATCCGCATGCAAGAGTAAGGTGGATGAATTAGTCCATGACTCTGTGGGGAACACAGGACTCTATCTGAATTATAAGGAGAGCTAATAAAATTTTTATAGGTAATCAATCCTCTATGAGGATTATGAGTGTATTTTTGCAGATTGAGTGTTGACAGATAGGGCATTTGGCCCTAGGTTACTTTGTTGCGGCTTGTGTCTTATTGTTATAATTTTTGTTTCATTGTTGATGTCATTTTACTTTTACATGAAAAGAATGATACTGATCATCATGTCAGATATAACAATTAGAAAATATACTAAAATTTGTGTTTTAAATTGTGATTTTCATACTAAAATAGTTGAGAAGTTTCTCATTAATTTCAGCTAACAGAAATTCAGTTTGTCTTTACCAAGGCAATGATAAAATTTTCCTTCACAATCTTCCTGTTTGATTTTCTTACCCTCTAAGAGAACATCTCAAATCTAATCTCTCCGGGGATTGACTGCAAAAAATATAAATAAATATGATTAAAACAGATATCTGCAGAAGTAAAAAATAAGAGTCACACTTTAATTACAAAACAAAGTTCTGCTCCCTCCATATAAAAAATCTTCTGCACCTTTTCTCTTTTTCTTTCAAAATCTCTTTAGAAACATCAGAATAAAGCTTTGTTCTTCACGATAATCAATTTCATCCATATCATCCTAACATATCCTTATTATCTGAAAAACATTTTCATTCAATGACGACACATCTTGACCATTAATTTTGGGGAGTCAAATAATATATTATTAATAAATAATAAATAAATATAAAAGGAAGAAAGATAATAAAAGGGTGAAAGGATAAAATTGTAGATATATACTTAAATATATTAAATGATCATTAAGTTTGAAGAGGACACAATCATAAATTATATGAGAGTTATAAAACTAAAGAGGGATAAAATTATAAATATATAAATAAATATATTAAATGTTCATTAAGTTTAGAGGTCAAAATCATAAATTACATGGAAGTTACTAAAACTTTCGAGGAGACACGACCCCCTCAACTCTAGATAAGATTTACCACGGACACAAAATTTTAGAAGGAACACATTTAGTTTTTTTCTGTTTTGGTTGATGGAAATGTAAAATAGATGCAATGACTTTACAAGAGAGAAGAAGGAGGAAAAGTGGGCTAAAGAGATGTTCTAGAGAAAATAAGTGTATATAAGTAATATAATTAAGTTGATCATCTTATTATTTAAGAAAAATAAATATTACATGATATTAACGAGTGTTTAAAAGGAACAATTTTAAATACAAATAATATTATATTATATTTTTTATTATTATCATGATCTCTTATATATATATATATATATATATATATATATATATATATATATATATATATATATATTTTTTTTTTTTTACTTACACAAGATGTTGATTTGTAATGCACTCAAATTCCATTCATACATAAGTTAATTGGTCTCAAATTCATTAAGTATGAGAAAACTTAGCAAATTAATTTGAGGTTAATTCTCATTTAAATATCCACTAAGTCTATTAGTAATATTTTGATATTGTTGGCAATTTTTTTTTTAGTTTTTTTTTCTTCTATTTGGTTAATATGTACCCTTAGATATATGATGAAAATATTAACTATTTATTATTTATTTTTCATAATTATTATCATTTTATTAATCTATTTATTCAATTTTTTTATCTTATAATTTTTCCTTAGACATAATCATGTATATTTAAAACTAAAAAATAAAGATAATTTAAACAATATAATATAATAAAAAATTTAAGCAAAATATAATTATAAAAAAACAAAAATATATTTAATCTTTATTCACATGTATCATTATAAAGAAAAAAAATCATTTACACTTTTATTAAACACAAAACAGGAAAAATAAAATCAAATTAAAAATTGTCTTAAAATAGATCACATTATTATTATTATTATTATTATTATTATTATTATTATTATTATAAATCTATATAGCATATAGAGAAAACAGAAAAAAATAAATAAATAAAAGATAAAAGAATCAATTAAAAAGAAAATAAGAAAGTTATAGAAAAATAAAAATTATATTTTTTACGTGTGAGTGAAAAAAAAATTAATTTTTTTTATTTATCTATTTAATTTTTATTTGTTAATTATTTATTATTTTACATTTTTTTCCTGTGAATGACAAAAAATAAAATTCATATTCTTTAACTTATTTCCTAAAGGTACCACTACAAGAAGAAAATCGTTTATTTCGACGGATTTTTATCGACGAATTTGTAGCAGTCGAAAAATTAGTTATTACGACGGATATAAAGTATTTGTGGAAATTGGTCTTACCAACGGATATATTCGTCGGTAAATTAATAATTAGTTATCGACGGATATATCTGTCGGTAATTAATAATTAATTACCGACGGATATATCTGTCGGTAAATCCATCGATAAATTAACAATTACTTACCGATAGATATATCCGTCGGTAAAATTATATAATAATTACTTAATTTTAAATATATTCTAATAAATTAATTATTCACCTAATTAAAAAATTAAATATTTTTTCTATTTAATAAATTAATTTAATCATAATTAGATTAATTTATAATAATTTATTAAATTAAATAATTTTAAAAAATAAATATTAAATTATATATAAATATATATATAAATATAAAAATATATACAAATATACAAATATATAAATATACAAATATATAAATATATTGTATTTATATATTTATTTGCATATACATTTATTTGTATATAAATATAATTTATTGTAAATTATAATAGAAAAATTTCGGTAACTTAGTTATTGGAGTATCGAGTAGAAAATAAATAATGATAATAATATAAAGAAAGAGGAGGAGATGTCTCTAGAAAAATAGGTTTTATAATAAATAAAAAATTTATTAAATAATTAAAATATTTCCGACAAAAAATCCATCAATAATTACATTTAACATTTACCGAAAAACATGAATCCGTCAATATTTACCCGTAACATTTACCAACAAATTTAGGATTGTCGATAATCCGTCGATAATATATATTTACCAATAGATTTTACCGACAGATTTTGTCCGTCGATTTCGATTTTTCTTGTTGTGTACATGTTTAGATATCATAACATTTCTTATGTTATTATCATTTATGTGAGATTTATTAAATGATGAAATTTTGTTTTTAAAGACTTGTAAACTTTAATTATGAATATAGTGTTTGAGTAATATTGGAGGTAATTCGTTTTGAAAATTTGTAAAATTTAGTTAAGAACGTTCAATTTAAGTAATTATCTAGAGAGTTTATTATTATTTATAAATTAGTGTCAAGAAGATCAAGTTATAGAAATTGTTCATTTTGAAGACTTGTAAATTATGGCTACAAATGTTTAGTGTAAGTAGATATTGAAAGTGTTTATTTTGAAGACGCACAAACTTTAATCATGAGAGTCTAATCTAATTAATCAAAAAAGAGAGTTTCACATACAACACCTAATTTAAGTAAGTTTATTATTAATTAAGTTGATTGATCTTCTCTTCATCACGTTATATAACTTTTTTTTTCTTCTACAACTGCATATAATTTTGTTATCCAACTATTAAATTCGGTCATGGAATATTGTACCATGTTTTTCTTATTGCTTGGTCTTTAAAATTCTGCAGAATAAACATTTTCAAACCTAATTTACTCAATTGAGTTGGTGTATGATGATGGAAGAAGTATTTATATAGATTTATTTATTTATGTGAAATTTGAGGTTTTATATCTAAGAGATTTGCGTCACCCCAACTAGTTAGACATCTTCAAAACAACTCACAAAAAGTCCTACTAGTAACATTATGGGCATCACACACATACTTACTAAGCTAAACTTGTAACATCACGTGCAGCACGTGCCAGAAGGGGTTTGAGACCTTTAATTCTACACACACTTTCACAAAACCAGTTCTTTATTAAAGATCCAGCTGAACTTGATGCTCTGCGCCTTCATCTTACGCGCTCGCTCATCAGCGCGTTCTTGCAACTTCCTTATCCTCGGCGCTAACCCACACACGTAATCCTGCGCCCGCTTTCCTTCACCCGTTAAACCTTCCAGCTTCTCCAATCTCCACCGTCCAACCAGAAACTCCAAGATATCCGCGTAATCATTGGCTGTGTATACGCCCATTCGCTGCGCCACTGCGGAGTAATGCTCGAATAGCTTGGGGTCATCCCCATCGTACATAAGGTGCGCCGGCATCGTGATCTTCTTCTCCATCATGTCCCCAATGGCCACCATTGCTCCAGTGGGGTCCACTTCTAGAAGCTTCTCCACGATTCTCGAGTACGCGTTTTCGTGGCGCTTCTCGTCCGCAGCGATGGTCCCGCATATGCGCGCCAGCACTGGATCACCGCCCTCTTTCGCAAGCCGAGCCGTGTTCCCGTGCGCCACGAACGTCGCTCGCTCTTGGAATGACGTGTACACAAACCCCAAATACGGGTTGTTCTCTGTTCCAGGGTCCTACCAATCCAAACAAACATAATTTATATTTCAATTTCATAAAAAATACTTTCAACTTTACTTTTCCATTTAAATCCCCATAATTTGTTATAAAAGGGTCCCAAGCCATGTCACCATAAACTCAAAATGCTGTCCCTCAAGTACATTAATTTCAATTAAAAAAAATATTACCAATGTGTTAATCAAGGGAAAAGATTCGTTGAAAATCCATTCTTATAAATATTATCTGTTATTAATGAGAAGAGAACAAAATAAGATAAATAAATAATAATATAAAAATTTAGAAATATATTATTAAATGGATATTTCTGTAGTTTTGTAAATTTAGAGGAGATATGATATGGTAATCTAAAAGGTAGAAAACTGAAATCTCTCCCACAAAAAAGACCAATTTATTTTATAAACCTTAAATAAATTTTCTATTAAATTTTTTTATGTGAGATGGCACATCCCCTAAGCTTCAGATATTAGAAAATGAAGAGAAGCACAAATAATAGAAATAAAAGAACACTGACCATGCCAGCGCCAATGAGGTAATGGACGGTTTTCTCGACCTTGGCCATGTCAACACGACCGGAAAGGTACAAGTAAGTTCTGAGTAAATCCCCGTGTCTGTTTTCTTCGGCGGTCCAGGCCCGGGTCCACACGGCCCACGGGCTTGGACTCGTTCCACACTCGTCTTTCACCCCGTCGAGATTGTTGATCATGGTCTGGTAAGTGGGAAGCGCGTCTTCCGTGATCATGTCACCCACCAACACCACGAAGTACTCGTCGGGTAGCTCCTTCGTGCGTTCACGAAGGACCTTCACTTCCTCGCTGAACTCTTCGAACGGCAGCGTCGAGTCGGGGACAAAGTTCTGGGGCTGCCAGCATTGCTCCACGGGCTTCAGCAGCGGTAGGACCCACTGCGAGGCCCAACCCTCCAACGACCTGAAAATCTCCATCTTTTCTGCCGGCATTGAGTGGGTCCTCCGCGCCTTAAATGGCGCTGCAGAGACGGCGGCATTAGGCGGCGGCAAGAGGTGGCGGTGTTGCCGGTGGCACATGTTTTTATAAGCCCATGGAAAAACGGTTTGGGTGGTGATGGAGTGGCAGGGTCGTATCTGCATGGTTTTGGTTATGTGGGTGGGCCTGGGCTGGTGTTGTTTGAACGAAACTGTGGGTGATGCAGAGAGGAGGAAGATATTTGTAAGGGTGTGAGTAGTGCTTAGCCCTTGGTTTTGCTAATAATTTCAGAAATGCCATGATGGGTTTTTTAAGTTGTTGAAGTTTATGGGAATTTTTGTGGAAATCTGAGTGGATACATTGACAAGTTTTGTTCAGAGAAAAGTTGGATATTTTTGGTTAAGAAAATAAGGGCAATTGTTAAGGGTACACAAGGAAGGGTAGTACAGTCATTGAAGAAAGGTAGGAGGGTGCTTGTCCCGGGTTTGATTTGTAAAACAGGGGGTGCTGTGGTTTTGGTAGAACAACACAATAACTGCTCAATCTGATTTCTGTGGATCTTTTCCCTCCTTGTGGGCGTCTTTTAATTTCCCTTGCCACCTCATTTTTCTTATTCATTCTTTTCTATTCAATTTTCAATTTCTAAGGTAAACCACTTGTGTTACTTGACAAATAAAATATATTGAAATTGAAATATTATTACATCAAAAATATAATAAGACTAAGCTATTTCTATTAGTACTTTTTACGAGTATTTTATGGATATTAAATAAAAAATATAATATATTAGATATGTTTTTTAAATATAAATTAATAATATATATATATATATATATATATATATATATATAAGAAAATCAATAAAGGAGTTAAAATAAGTTTAATCCAATACAATCATAAGCAATGTAATCAAATTTATTTGGACTCAATCTTTTTATATCATAATTTTTATGAATTTATGTAAGACTAACTTGTAGTTTTATTATCAATCTATTTAATAGAATAATAATTATATTTAAAATAAAAATATTATTTAATTTATATATATATATATATATATATATATATTTTAAATTAATTTGATAAAAGATTTATTTATTTTAAAAATAAATAATAAAATAAGTCTTTAATATTTAATAATTAAGATTAATTATTATTTTAAAATAATAAATTATTATAACATAAATTATAATAATAAAAAATAATTTTTTATGTTTTATTTTAATATTAAATAGATGTATTTTTTATAATTAATATATTATATCTTAAATAAAAATAATTTATTAATAAAACTTAAATTTTAAAAATATATTTTTGTAATTAATTGTTTTGGTATATATATATATATATATATATATATATATATATAATTTAATCAAATCAAAATTAACATGTTAAGTTGTTGGGCATTAAATTTGAAAAAAAAATTGATGCATTATAAAATGTAAAATCAACAACTAAAATTTTCTACTTAACGCCCGATAGCTAGTAGGTGAATACTCTTTCGAATTTGAAAATGTATAACTGTATAGTACATACAAATATGAGAATTTAAAATTAATAAACTAATATAGGTTTTATCATTTATGTTAGTTTTGAGATAAAATGACTTAATATACCATAGTTTCTTCTAACAAAAACTGGTTGCAGTGACTACAAAAATAAAATATGTTACGTTGAATTCATTACTTATGATCAAGATTTTTTTCTTCCATTTATTGTAATAACGATGATATATAAATTTGATAAAACATAACAGAGCAAAGTTAGATAAGTTTTTTTATCATAAATTAAAAGACAACTAATATAAACATTGAAAAACAATTTATAGAGTATTTACATTCATCATAAGTCACTAAAAGTACTGAAAAACATGATGCGTCACACACGAGAGAATAATAAACAATATATCGTATAAATGAATTTCTATAATTCCACACTACTAAGAAAGTAAACATTTCCTAATTTTTTTCAATTTGTCATTGATACAATTTCCCCACAAAATAAAACTTCTTATCCCTAAATTTAACTTAAGGTTAATATAATCAACCTATTATAATTATGAAATAAATAATAATTAATGTAATGAACAAAGTTGATTATTAAAATAAGAATCAACGATAAACACTTGTTTAAAATCAATTGATTAAAAAAATTAAAAACTGATCTTAAGAAAATGAAAACTATTTAATTTTTTTTTCAAACTAATTGAAAATCAATAATCAAATTAAACCGAATCAAAATACTTATTATATTTAAATATAATATTATAGATTTTTAATTCATTAACAATAAATAAATGTCTCATGAGAATTATCTTATGATTTAATTCTTCTATAAACATGTAAATTATCACCTTGATTTTGTTTTTTTCTTAAATATAAAAAATATAATCTATATCTAATCTAAATTCAATGTATTAGATTGAATTTAAAATTAAAAATATAATTTAAATTTGAAATTGACCCATGAAAATGATCTTAAATTGATTTGGATGTTAATAATCGTTAGTTTTATGAAATTTTTTTACAACAGCAGATAACATTTAACTTTTCTTCTCTTACCTTTATTTCTCTCTCATTTTTTTTTCTCCTTTAACACAGTGGTGAGAGATGAATGAGATTATATATATATATATATATATATATATATATATATATATATATATATATATATATATATATATATATATATATATATATATATATATAATAATATTTTTTTAAAAAATTTATTCTTATATATGAATTAAATTATATTTTATTATAATGTAAATTGATTAAATTGTATTCTAATGATAATATTTAATAACTTATTTGAAATAAAGAATTATTGTGAGAGATAGAAATTATTTTGAATTATTTTATTTTCATTTATTTAAATTTTCATACACTTTAAAATTTGAAATTTATTGTGTGCACATCTTGTATTTATAATTTTATACCGAACAACAACCAAAATAAATTATATATTATCAAATATAGCAACACTATAATTTAAGACTAAACATAAAATGAAAAACGATTACTAAAAAAAATAATTTTTATATAAAAACTAATATTTACTTTCCTCACGTACAGAAGTAAAAAAAATGAAAAATACAATAAAAATACTATTGTACAAAATTATCTTAATTTAAAATAAGTTATTATTATTTTTATGTTTACAATTTTAATATATATATATATATATATATATTACTATTTTAATAAAGTATTACAAAATAAATATAAAAATTAAATTAATAAATTAATATATATATATATATATATATTATTTGTAATATGATATTATTTTATTAATTTAATTTTAAATAATTTTATAAAAAATCATTTTAAAATTATATATCAAAATCTATATTATTAAAAATAAGATATATAATTAAAAGATATTATTTTAAAAGATTATTTTATTAATAAAAATTAATTAATAATTATGAGTAATTTTATAATTGAATAAATATTTATGTACTTTAATTATTTATTATTTTTTAAATTAATATTTTTTTCTTTTCATATCATTTTTCTTAAAAAAAATACTTTTTACTTCTTATTTTTTTCTCACGTTTACTAAAAGGAGACCTAAATTGTTACAATATTAACAATAAACCTTTATTTAGTACAACATTTCAGATTAAGTGTTATTCTTATTTAATTTTATTAAATATTAATACTCAATAATACATACTCATTAATAATATTAAATTTTAGGAAATTTGTATCACAATATATATATATATATATATATATATATATATATATATATAAATGGGGATAACTATAATAAGTAATATGATTTTATTGAATTGATTATATTAAGTAGCAAATATTCTCCAAAACTAATTTATTTAAAAATTTTCTGATTCCATACATTTTTTATAACCAAAGGCCATTAAAAGATAAAAGCTTTTGAATTTTTTGTTATGCTTAAAAGAATTTATAGAGGTGATTTTTAACCTCAGTCCCATATAATCGAAAGGGTGACGCTGGTTTCGAAGCTAAGCTGCATCATGATATCAAGGGATATTGAAAGGCCTAGGTCAGCTTCATACCACTCAAGACTAAGTTGTTTCAGCCCATAAGACTTTTGAAATTCTTCAAAGTCTCGTAAACCTCTTCCAATAATTCTACCTCAATGCATTACATATTACAAGTTTTAAACATATGAGATAAAGAATAAAGAGTATTTGAGATTCATTAGATATATTTATAAAAATAAATATCAAATATCATAATATACACACGAATTCCTTAAAAATAAGATAGCAAAAATTATTAATCTTAGCCGAAAAAAATTGGAACGGCATCATAGATCATAAATCTTGACCTATCCTATCAGACTGACTTACAATCATTTTTTTAATTAATTTATTTATCTATTTTAAATTAAAATTTTCAATAAATTTAATAATAAATTATTATTTATTTATCAATAATTTAATATATATTTTAAGTTAATAATATACATTGATATATTGTATTGTGAAATTATAATTTAAAATAAAATTTATATAATAATAGTAAATATACGTAGGTAATGTCAAGTAAAATCTCTAATTTTTTATATTAAAAATTTAAACACCTAAAATAAAAATTATATTATATTTTTTTATTTAATAAAATTCTACATTCTTACTTTAAGTAATTCTTGACGGAATGGGATAATATGAAGTGATAAAATAAAAATATCAACTCATCCCCTCGAATATTATACCAAACTGTAGGTTGACTTGGGTTTTGTTATTCTTACTCAAAATTTGAGTTAATTATTTTCCCTATTTCTTATAATAACGACGTGAATTTACACCTCTTGAGTATTAATTTGAATTTGAGTGGTGAGTATGATCACATGTGGTTGCATGTATATTGTGTTTCCCACCTATAAAGTTGTGATCATGTGCCATAGCGTTACAGCGATATGGTGTTGCCTTCATGAGAACATGTTGACTTCCAATTAAAAGGAAATATATCATATCATGAAATTGTACATCTTCTGGTAACAATAATTTTGTTATACTAATATGGTAAATAATGAGTCCTTTGGTAACTTCTTTATAAGACAAAAAATTTAGTAGATCTAGATTGAAGTTGTGATCTTCCAGCAGTTATATGTTGTGCCTGAAAAGGTAAGGCAACCGAATAGTTATGGTATAACAGAGGAGCTGTAAATCTATATTGCAAGCCTTCAAGCATAGGACTGAGATTGTTTGGGTATTTTGGATGCAAATAAAAGAGCCCCCATTGTTAGGATGAGTTCATAAACTCCATTTTATTAGGATTTTTAATAACAATAAATGTAATTTGACGACTAATTAATAGGTCTTCATTTTTAAAATAATCTATAAATTAATTTATATGATAATTGAATATTTATCGTCTATAAATTAGTTTCTATTTTATGAATTTATTCTAGTGGCAAAATTTCCTCTTTATGCTAATATTTTTCTCTTTTTTAAATTTCGTAATTATTTTCATTGCTTTTTCCCTATGTGTTCTCGCTTCTTGTTGAAAACTAATAAGTTTTATTTATATTTTACAGTTTGTGTTAAAAAGGAAAGTTCATTTCAACATCAAGGTATATTATTAATCTAACATTTTTTCATGAACAACCATTATTTTGTTTACGTATTGTAGTCTGCTAATAATCTCAACCTTTTTTCAACTTGGAGCAAGATAAAGTTGAAGGCTTTTTTGAGGAAGGTATTTTAAGATTTCGTTATTATATGCATACTAGTTTTTGTTTTAGAATTATCTTTATCGTTAAAATTGGTAACAAAGAAATTTAGCATGTTTATTAAAATTTTACTTGGACCTTTGTTTATTATCGTCATTAAAAAGGGTTAAATCTTACAAATAAAATCGTTCCCAACATATGCCGAGTTACTTACTAGTTTTTTTTTTTTAATTAAAAATTACCACGAACGCAAATAAAATAATAATAAATTTCAAGGCAACATATTCACCACACCATATTCACCAGCAAGCAATCAATCATGGAACCACCCATCACCACCAACACACAAGACAACCCTGACCACCTAATATAGTTCATTGATAACACATTCTCCTTAGAGAAATAACTAATGAACAATCCTTTAAAAGAAAAGAATTATTTTCAATGAAAGTAAAATATTGTCTATTAGTTATAAATGCACACAATACTACTAAATACACCTAGTTATAAATATTTTACACTTTTACTTTTTACTATTTATTGACTTATTATATATTCACGTCTACATTTTCCTCTGTTTATTTTATCTCTATTATTTATCTGACCCTTTCCATATATTAAATGGCAGTTATTATATTTTCAACTACCCCCCACTTGTCACCGACAAGTCTCTTCAAACATCGGATTCTCATTCTCCGGTTTGAGTTCCGAAATTATGTTGCACGTGGCTTGTATTCATGAGTTACCACCCTCATGCAACCACGATCATACACATGACTTTGCATCCGACAATGTCTATTAGAGGCAACCCATGATATACTTTTTCATTCCTGTTTATTATCTGGATAAGTAAAACATACTGCAAAATTAAGTCAAAACATGTACGCATCACACCCATCACTTTCACAAATCCCAACTCAATTTTCACAAATGCACCTCTTTATTGAAGATCCAGCTGAACTTCACGCCACGAGGTTTCATCTTACGCGCTCGCTCATCAGCGCGTTCTTGCAACTTCCTAATCCTCGGTGCTAACCCGCACACGTAATCCTGCGCCCGCTTTCCCTCTCCCGTCAAACCTTCCAGCTTCTCCAACCTCCACTGTCCGATCAGAAACTCCAAGATGTTCGCATAGTCGTTGGCCGTGTACACGCCCACACGCTGCGCCACCGCCGCGTAGTGCTCGAATAGCTTGGGGTCCTCTCCATCGTACATAAGGTGCGCCGGCATCGTGATCTTTCTCTCCAACATGGTTCCTATGGCCACCATTGCTCCGGTCGGGTCCACTTCTAGAAGCTTCTCCACGATCCTTGAGTACGCCTTCTCGTGCCGCTTCTCGTCCGCGGCAATGGCTCCGCATACGCGCGCCAGCACTGGATCACCGCACTCCTTCGCAAGCCGAGCCGTGTTCCCGTGCGACACGAACGTCGCTCGCTCTTGGAATGACGTGTACACATACCCCAGGTACGGGTTGTTCTCGAAACCAGGGTCCTACACGGTTCAACCAAAAACACAAATGGAACATTCTTCGTTCATTCATAATAAAAAAAGATACAATTGCAATTTTCAAGTTAATTTTTACTTTTTCATAATTTTTTTCCCTCGATCCTGCCATGCATGTGGGAATACATTTTCATTGTGAAAGTTGGTAGCAGGGTCAGAACATTAGTCAGAATACCTGATCAGAAAACTGGCTTTATCTGATCGGGAAAAAAAAAATAACAAGAGAGAAGGTCTAGTAGAGCGCCAGCAAGTCAAAAACTTGAGAACGTAGCAGAGATTAAACTCTCGAAAAGAATTTCTATTAGCATCAAGCAAGACAGAGAAGCTGGACGTGTTTTCTGTTGGTACGCAGTTTTCACATGGCTTAAAAGGAACATCAACTCAACGCAGCAGGAAAATTTATTGTTTCCCAATCACAACCACGCTATCAACTCAATCAAACCTCTGTATACAAAACTTTTACACACTTTTCCCGTGATAGATCAGACAGAAAAAGCACAATAAACAGCGACTAAAAATTGTTCTCTTCCATGGTTGAGTGACAATGACAAAAAAATCATGTAATTAAAAAGGTGGTAGGGATGCTCCCACGAAAAACAATAAATAATCCAGAATTTTTTAAAAAGAATAATAGCGTTCTGTCATAATCTCTTGAAAGAAGCATGGGAAATTTGACAGAACCAATACTGTAATGGCAGCTATGACTCGGAGTGGGACTGATAAGCTGAACAATAATAATATTAATAAATTGCATGATGTTTTTGTTCACATTTATGATTACTAATATCCACATAATTTAGAAATCTTAAAAAAAAAAAATGAATAGTAGAAAAAAAAAGAAACACGATCTTATGATTTTTTTCTGAGAGAAAAATAAAAATACCTTTTTTATATAGTCACCGTTGTTCGAGTGAGATGCAATTTATAGGATCTCACTTATAAAATAACTTTTCTAAATTATTTGTTTAACTTATAGTTAAATTAATTTTAGTCCATAAAAGGTTTTATTTCACTTTTTGTTGGTTTTATTTTATTTTATTTTCTAGAACTGCTTACAGGAGAAAATCTTCCCAATATACCTATGTATATACTTACCATGCCAGCGGCAATGAGGTACTGAATGGTCTTTTCGATCATCTTCATGTCAACACGACCAGAAAGGTACAAGTAAGTTCTGAGTAAATCCCCATGTCTGTTTTCTTCGGCGGACCAGGCCCGAGTCCATACGGCCCACGGGCTTGGGCATGTTCCGTACTCGTCTTTCACACCGTCGAGGCTGTTCATTATGGTCTGGTAAGTGGGAAGCGCTTCCTCTGTGATCATGTCACCTACTAACACCAAGAAGTACTCGTCGGATAGCTCCTTGGTGCGGTCGCGGAGAGCCTTGACCTCATCCACGAACTCTTCGAACGGCAACGACGGGTCGGGGACGAAACTTTCGGGCTGCCAACTTTTCTCGACGGGCTTCAGCAGGGGTAGGACCCACTGCGAGGCCCAGCCCTCCAGCGACCTGAAAACCTCTAACTTTTCAGGAGGCATGGAGTGGGTCCTCCGCTCTTTGAGCGGCTGTGGTGAGACCGAAAGGGCGGATTTGGGTGGCGGCATGAGGTGAGGGACCCTTGTTGGAGTGCGTGCAAAGGGAAGCGTTGTGTGTATCTGCATGTTGGTGGGAGGATGCGATGAGGTGAGAGTGGGAGATATTTGTGAGGAGTGATACGAAGGTGTTTGTTTTTGTCATTAATATAAGCATAATTTTGAAGGCGGTGGGACGTGGCCCTTATGGGTTAAAGGAGTAGGGCGTGACAGTAAGGCAGTTGCTCATGCAGTGTAGGTGGCAGCTTCAGAACATCACGTTGCGTGTAAAGGAACTAACTGCGTAGCGGGTTTTCTTTCACCACAGTGTGGCTTGCATGCTTTAATTGGGATACTCCTTCAGACACAGCTTGTGACTCCATCTGGAGCGATAACATCAAACTTCTCATTATAATGCAACTCCTCTCTCTGTTTCTCAAAACTAACCATAACAGTTACTTAATCCAGTATATTCATTAACTTTTATTTTTTATATATAAATTCTAATCCGCAAGTTATGATGTCTCCCAAACATGTTCATTTTTCTTTCAGCTATCAGTGTCTTTCAATCAACAGTTACACATATATCCCCCTTCTGAAAAATACAGTTTACCATTTACACTATACTTATATAATATTATATGCTTACTAATTTATTAATTTATCATATTTTTACCAAATATATTATTGATAATTTCCAAATTTACCATCAAAATATTCTTAAAAAATAAAAACATGAAAAAATTGGGATTACATAAAAAAAATAGAATATATGCCTTTTAAATTTCTTTTATTTCTTAAATTTTATTTTAATGTATCAAAATGAATTTTGAAAAAAATAAAAAACTATTTGTTCTATAAATGATTTAACTTTAATAAGTTAGACAAAATTATTTAAAAACAAATTTTAAGATTTGTTTTGTGGTGAAAGTACTATAAGATAACTATCTTAAATGTTCTAATTAGTTGTTTAATGTAGGGACATGATAGAATTATTTATCATAATTTTATAAAAAATTCTTATATTTAGGGAGGTTTAGATAAACTTTCTTCTTATAGTTAAAATTACCATTATCATGATTATTTTTATTATAATTTTTTGATGTATCTTCACCGTTGTTATAAGATTATTATATATATTAAAAATAGTTGATATAAGATATTATGGTAAAGTTATTATTAAAATTTTTGTAAAATATTTTTATTATTTTCATGTTATTATTATATTGTGTTTATTATTATTTTTATGTCATGTTTATTATAATAACTTATAAATTTAAAATGAGGTTTTTATATTTGTTAATTTAGTTTTTTTTATCTCTAATTAAATTTTGATATCAATGCGAAAATTTTATATTTATGATTGAGTAAATAATTAATATTACATCAATAAATGTTATATTTAACATAAATTTACTTCGGACGATAAAATAATCCATATAATTTTTATTTTTCTTTTCAAATGTGTCACTTTAACTTTTTTTAATGGGATCTTATTCCTTTTATGACAATAAATAAACATCATGAGCAATCAAATGAAGGTAAATAGCATAACATGAGATGCAACTTTTGTCTGCAAAACTAAAAAAAAAAAAAGTTAGAAATAACTAAATAAATCTTAGGAAACCAAATATTGCCTGAGAGAAATTTTCTCGTAATTAAAAGAAAATGCAACAAGTGCAGGGAATAGCGGCCACAACATAAAGCTATAACAGATAACTCACGTTGCTAACTAAGGATTTGATACTTCCATAACATTTTCTGAAAAATCTGTTGGCATTTTTCTTGCAAAACTGTTATTAGTTGTCATGATTATAGTGATTGAGATTAAAAAATAACGATTTTCAATTTTAAATAAAAAATAGTTAGAGAAATAAAACATTAACCTTGGCAAAAAAAAAATTCTATTGGAAGTCACCCTCCAAAATAAATCTTCATGTGTGTGAGAAAGACGAAACTTTATAAGGGATTTAAAAAATTTATATGTTGGAAAATGTAGGAATTGATGTAAAAATGTTCCCCTTAATTGAAAAAATCTCACCATATTTTTTTGAAGTCGGATAATTAATTAAAAATAAAAATATCACATGATAAACTTATTTTGCATTAATGTATATTAAGTTGTCACCATTACCATTATTAACATAATAATTATCAATTTACACTTGTTTGCATAATAATTAATAATACTCTTCACAAGAAATTCGGATGATTTTTTTCTTTTTACTTCGTTTAAATATGGATCTTTTTTTCTTATAACCTAACATATATATTTTTAAATGAAATTTTATTTAATAATTTATTTTAATTATTTTATTAAAATGTAATATATTATAGAAATTATACGAACCGAAAAATGTGTTTAAAATGACAATTTATGTTCAACTAGCTACTTAATATAATTTAACTGATAATTTCTTTCAAAAAATTGTATAAAAAATAAAATAAAACAATATTAATCAACCAAAGTTTAAATTCAGAATTATATATTAATTTTGATTAAAATTTTAATCATATGAATTGCAATAAATCATGAATTTTATTTATTATTAATAGTATTAAATTAATAGTAATACAAGTTATATGATTTTTTATTAACATTAATAATTTTATTATAAAATAATATTATCAATTCATGTTAAAAAAACTAAACTATTAATTATAAATTTTTAATAAAATAAAGTAGAAAATCAACAAATTTCAATTAAGTTTTAGAAAATTTACGGAAATAGTTATTTACAATAATTATTTATAAATATATTTTTTAAATCCTACATATAATTTAGATAAAATTAGAAAAAATTATTTGAATACAAATTTTCTTTAGTTTTTTATAATTTATACGAATGCAATTTATAATAAAATAGTATTTTTATTTACAAATAGTTGCTGTAAACAATTTTTTTTAGATGCCATTACATACTGTCCAGACGGATGAAAAAAATCATATTAGATCAAGTAATTTTTTTTAAAAGTGATTGATTTTTGTAAGAAAGAAAAATATTTTAAATTTTTTTTTCAAAATTTCGATGGTCAAATCTAAATTCTTATCGTATTTTTTAAAGAGTAAAAGTAAATAAAATGTGAATTTGGCTCCCAAAACCTCACGTAAACAAAACATTAAGAGGGTTGGATATTTATTTTAAGAAGGAAATTTAAATATTTATTATTAATCTTTATCATTAGTCTCTTTAGTCAAAATGTCTAACACAGTAACATGTTTTAATTATTTTATTAAAAAAATAAACAATGAGATGAAAAATAAGATTCATATTTTAAAATAATTTTAAATAATAATGATCTTACTATTAGGTTGTTGATTTTTTTAAATATTCTCTATTTTTTTCATTCTCAACATCATTTTTTTTCTTAAACAATTTTTGACTTTATTTTCTTTTGTATATTAATATGGAATACTTACTTAAAATTATATATATATTATTTTTTAAAACTTTAAAAACTAAGTATATAATAGTTTCATTTGTTTTGGTTATGAAATTGAAATTTTAGTTGTGAAAAGTGAGGCTATAGTCCACCCACAATATGCAGCAATGAATTAGAAACCTAGGTGGCCTATATGTTAGAAACAAATGTCGCTGACAAAAGTAGATTTGGTAGGTAAAAATTTAACTCATCAGCACGCTGAATTGAAGATAAACAGAAAACTATGCGCGCAACTTCAGGTCTAGTTTGACCTCGTGGATCTATAAATTTGTGTACCTCGTCAATTTATATTATCTTATACAAATAATATAATTATTCGCTAATATTATTATTACATCTTACTTTTTTTATATAATATATTGTTAAATATATTAATAAATAAATTATAAAATACGAAAATAATATATAAAAATAGACAATAATTTATTAAATATTAAATAAATAGTATATATATAACTATTTTAATTGAATAAATGATGTGATTTATTATTGGAATTTAAGTATCAATTTAAATCCTCCATCAAGTAAAAAAAATTGAATAACATGAGTGAAAAATATTATAAATATAATATTTTAAGATTTTAAATTTATTATTGACAAAAACACAAATATATTATCAGAGCCTATGGTTACAAGATTAGTATGCAAATAGGGTTGTTTAAGATTTTGGATTAATGTTGTGGAATATAACCATGCAAATAAGAGCCTATTTTTTTAATAAAATTTATAAATATATAAATAAATATATTTAATAATAATTAAATTATAAAAATTAGATAAATTATAAAACTTTGGGATAACACTTTCTAACAACAATTATTCTTTTTATGGGATCTGGTACTGTTGTTATTTCTCAACTTTTTCCCATGTTTATTGGGTGTACTTGCAAGCATGACATCCACAAACAACGGTGACTTAATGGGTTTGGGGCTGTAACATGGGGGAGTTTCTGTTCCCATGAAGTTTTGAAATGGACAAGACGATGGGTTGGACCAGTTGAATCATCAGGGAACGTTTTTATCGCCACCTTTTCTCACTCATTTAACTGCTCTGCTTTTATTTCAAAAAAAGAAAAATGCACTTATTCTTCATTTTCATTATATAAAAAAAATCATTAATTTGATTTAATGCTTAACTTAAATTACTATATTATATTATTAAATTAAAAACTGTAACAAAGGTAAATTTCTAATGGTTATTTTTGAAATAAGAAAATTCCTCCTGCAATCATACAAGATAAAAATGAATCAAATCTCGTTTTTCTTTCTATTCATATATATTGTCTGAATACTAGTAAAATGTTTGCATTAATACAAATATATAATTAGATATTTAATGAAAAATTATTAGTTATCATCTTTACTTTTAAATTTACTTGATAGTTAAATATTTAAATTTTTTTATATTTAATAAATTTTAAATAAATTAATTATCATGTTAAGTCTCTTATTTATCTGATAATTAAAGTTTTAAATTTTGTTGATTAATAATTCTGAAAATTTGAAAGGAAAACCTTTGTTATCACTTATTCATGGGATAAAAATAATTATGCGTTTAATTTTATATATATATATATATATATATATATATATATATATATATATATAAATTGAAAAGAACTACAAATCTAAACAGGATCAATATAAACAAATGTCTTTCAGGTTAAAAAAAAAACACTGAATATAAAAAATCAAGGTCTAAAGAAAAACAAATCATTTTAGAGTCCAAAGAATCGACAAAATTTACAGATGGCCAATGCTTTCTTTAAACTCAATTTTATTATAGAAAATATTATGAACATAGGATAATCAACAAAACCTTTTGAGAAACATAGATTATGTCACCATTTTATTAAAATTTTGGACGAAACCTTTAATATAACACTGGATTCATATTAATCCTCAAACAAAGAAGTAATAAAGTATCTAAATATTATATGATTGAAACAATTTTAATGTCAACATATAACTCTAATACTACTTTTTTAGATATTTTAATTTAATGTATAAAATATCAAATGAGCATAAAAGAACGTTAAGTAAGATTATTAAGATAAGGAAAAAAAATAATATTTGGATCCATATACTATGAACAAAATGTACGAAACCAACAAAATCTCTAATGATGATTAGGATCAATTGATTTTATAACCTTTCTCAGTTAAATCCTTTTATTCCTGGTGGATCCTCCATTCCTTCTTTTAGATGAAGTGATAAGACAATTACTTTTTTGATTTGGTGTATTTGGAGACCACAAATGTTCTTGTTACCCCCTTATGAATCAAATATGATTTATCTCTTCATTCTTTCTACTCTTACAACCAAAGTTAACATTTAACAAGTTGTGTTAAAATTTTATTGAAAACTATAAATTGTTTAGTCCACTATAAGAAAATCGCAGTATTACCGATCGGATATTTACCGATGGATTTGTATCCGTCGGTAACTAATTATTATTTTACCGACGGAAATTACCGACGGATATAAAATATTTGTGGAATTTGATCTTACCGACGGATATATTCATCGGTAAAATAATAATTAGTTACCGACGGATATATTCGTCGATAAATCCGTCTGTAATTGACGGATGAATTTACCGACGGATATATCCGTTGGTAAATCCGTCGATAAATTAATAATTAATTACCGACAAATATATCCGTCGGTAAATTCATCTGTAAATTACCGATCGGATATTTCCGTCAGTAAATTATCAATTAGTAAATATTTAACTAATTAAAAAATTTTAATATTTTTTATTTAATAATTTCATTTAATCAAAATTAGATTAATTTATAATAATTTCTTAAATTAAATAATTTTAAAAAATAAATATTTAATTATATATAAATATATAATTAAATATATAAAAACATATAAAAATATTTAATTGTATATAAATATATAAATATATATATATATAAATATATATATATATATAATATATATATATATATATATATATATATATATATATATATAAATATATATATATATATATATATAAATATATATATATATATATAAATATATAAATATATAAATATATAAATATAAAAAAATATAAATATATAAATATATAAAAATATAAAAATATAAAAATATAAAAATATAAAAATATAAAAATATAAAAATATAAAAATATAAATATATAAAAATATAAAAATATAAATATATAAATATATAAATATATAAATATATAAATATATAAATATATAAATATATATAAATATATAAATATATTTGTATATAAATATATTTGTATATAAATATAATTTATTTGTAAATTATTATCGAAAAAATCTGGTAGCTTAGTGGTTGGAGTATCGACCTCTAACTCTAAGGTACTGGGTTCAATCAATTCTCTTAATCTGATAATAATTGAAGTCTATAAAATTGTAATAGGGAAATCCCGCCAATGACAATTCTCTTAATCTAATAATAATTGAAGCCTATAAAATTGTAATAGGGAAAAATAATTAATAATAAATAATAAAAATATAAAGGGAAGGGGTATTCTATAAAATAAATAATCTATAAAATATTTAATAAATAATAAAAATATTACCGACGGATTCTCGTCCGTTGGTAATTTCGTCAAACATTTAGCGATGGATATATCCGTCGGTAATTACCGACGGACTATTAAATCGTCTGTAATATTTACCGACAACCAAATTTCCGACGGATTTTTGGCCGTCAAAAATCCATCGGTAAATGGATATTACTCGACGGATTTTGACTGTCTGTAATATCAAAATTTCTTGTAGTGGTCATAGGTAATTGAGTTAGAAAATTTCAATAATTAATTATTTGTTAAGTTGGCTGTTTAATATAAAATAAAAATAAAAATTATGACTTTTATGTACATTTTACTTTTTTATAGACATAAATATTTATTTTAAGACAATTATATTTGAAGTCTTATCTTTGTTGGTACAAAATTAAATATTTAATTGGAAATAAAACAATAGTGTAATAAGAGGTGTTCCAAAATAAAATTTATTGAAGTGTTTTTAGGTAAAGATAGAGAAAAAGCATAATAAATATGAAGGTTAAATTAATTATAATAATACAAAATAATTTATAGTTTAAAAAAAGTTGAATTTGTAGTTTATACTTTTACCTAAATGAAAAAAAAAAAAATTCCAGTACAAAAACACAGAGTACTTGTTTATAAGCCATTAAATATCATATTGGCGTGTGAGTTCACGATAGCAACTACTTCACTGCAGATGTTATGCTACAGTACGATTCTGGCTGACATGGCAGTCATTTCTGTAAAATGATGTTCCTGATGAGGGTGGGGATGTGGGTTAACTTCTATCCAGCAAAGTGAAGTCATGACTGAAAAAGCTTCAACAAATATCTAAGAGAAGATAGGGAAGGGAAGGTGAGAGACAAACAGAAATAACAGTGATAAGAATCTGCAAGTTACATTAAATTGTGAACATAAAATTTCACTCTGGGGTGAATCAGGAGTACTTCACTTGGATTCATCAACATGATCAAGAATAGTTTTAGAAGAAAAAGTGGAAAAAGAAAGATACTTTTTTTATAACTTTTCAAGCATATTACATGTTACATTGTGCATTATACTAATCCATGTTAATTATTCATTACTTACTGCATATTAGTATGAGCTCAAGCACCACCTAACCACAAAACTCACAGCCAGCCACCATGCAAAACTCACATCACAAGGCCAACTCTTTATTGAAGATCCACTTGAACTTTACGGAATAAGGCTTCATCTTACGCGCTCGCTCATCAGCGCGTTCTTGCAACTTCCTAACCCTCGGCACTAACCCACACACGTAATCCTGAGCCCTCTTACCTTCACCTGTCAAACCCTCCAGCTTCTCCAATCTCCATCGTTGGATAAAAAACTCTAAGATGTTTGCGTAATCGTTGGCCGTGTACACGCCTATGCGTTGCGCCACTGCGGAGTAGTGCTCGAATAGCCTGGGGTCGTACCCATCGTACATAAGGTGTGCCGGCATCGTGATCTTTTTCTCCATCATGTTCCCTATGGCCACCATTGTGCCGGTGGGGTCGACTTCTAGAAGCTTCTCCACCACCCTCGAGTACGCGTTCTCGTGGCGCTTCTCGTCCGCAGCGATGGTCCCGCATATGCGCCCCAGCACTGGATCACCGCCCTCCTTCGCAAGCCGAGCCGTGTTCCCGTGCGCCACGAACGTCGCTCGCTCTTGGAACGACGTGTATACAAACCCTAGATATGGGTTGTTATCCATCCCAACATCCTATCCATTAAATGAAAAATAAATAAATAAATAATAGGTAATTAAACCACCTCATATTTTATAAAAACTATATATAGAAGTAATATTATATCTATATTTTATATAAAAATAAATTAATTAATCAAAATTAGTAACACTATATGACGATTTTATGTTTGTATAAAGTCATATATTCAAATTTTTTTCTTAGTATTACACACACAAAATTAATTAAATTAATGAAAATATTGAACTTAGTAATTTTAATTACTAACATTATATTAAAAATGCTTTTCAAATTAAATCCACTCATTTGTTTCTCAAATAAAATATCAAATAATTTATTTTTCTTTGTTAACAAGTATTTACGGAAAATTTTGAGTTTAATACTACTATATATCTCAGAATTATACACGCGAGGATAATATTTCTAATTTCATTTATCATAAGTTTTTAGAGCTAGATTTGATTTACATACATCTCAATAAGACTAGAGATTAGTTGTGAATTTAATATGATCCTTCTAATTTTGTATTTTCTTTATATAATATTAGAAGCAACGGTGTTATTTATGATATTAACTTAATTGGATAACTTATTTATGATAGTCTTTTTTATATATATGGTATTATTTATGATGTTAACTTAATTGGTGTAATGGAATTAATTTATGTATGATATTAACAGAATATTTTTCTTCTTCTTTCTTAACTCACCAACCTAGGGCTTATATGACCCGTTTGTACTTACACTAGATAAATTAGTAGACCCAACCACATTTGTGATGTTGAATTCCATAAATCTTAGTACCCTACGCATATGTTTTTTTAATCTTTTGCTGACATCCCATAAAATTTATTACACATTTCATCTTTTCCCTTTTGTCCTTTTTTTTTTTTTTTTTTCATTTATAAACAATATGAGTAACAACCGTCGTGTGTGAGTAATATACTAACCCAGCCTGCAGCAATGAGGTGATGAATAGTCTTCTCCACCCTGTCCATGTCAACCCGACCAGAAAGATACAAATAGGTTTTGAGCAAATCCCCGTGTCTGTTTTCCTCCGCGGACCAGGCCCGGTTCCACACGGCCCACGGGCTTGGGCTCGCTCCGGAGTCATCTCTCATCCCATCCATGTTGTTCATCATGGTCTGGTAAGTGGGAAGTGCTTCCTCCGTCACCATGTCGCCCACCAACACCACAAAGTACTCGTCGGGTAGCTCCTTCGTGCGTTCGCGAAGGGCCTTCACCTCGTGTATGAACTCATCTAACGGCAACGAAGAGTCTGGGACGAAGCTCTGTGGCTGCCAGCTTTTTTCCACGGGCTTCAGCAGGGGTAGGACCTGCTCTGAAGCCCATCCCTCCAGGGACCTGAAAATCTCCACCTTCTCCGGTGCCATTGAGTGGGTCTTCCGCGCTTTCAACGGCGGCGGACCGGTGATGGTCGGTTTGGGAAGAGAGCACGCAAGTGGAAGAGTTTGTATATGCATGTTTTTGGGTCACGTGTGTGAGTTGGGTTGAGATTGTGTGTGACTCTGGGGTAAGGGTGTAAGAATTGCGCTTGAGGAAGGAACTATTTATAGGCATAGGCCCATAGAGCCTCTAATTTACAGTTCCAAAACATCCACTGAAAAATGCTAACATTTAAGCTTATGATAATTAGAATAAGTTATTAGTAGCTATTCCCACAAAAATTTCCGTACACAAAATCAAAATATTTGATTTGTGTGAGGAGGAGCAGATCTGCTTCTTGTCCTCAAAATTTTTTAAACTATTTATATTTTTATAGGTTATATCTTTTAAAAAATATTTAAATTTAATAATTCATTAAATCTATTAATTTAAATCAAATATTATATATATTTTTAAATTTACTTGTAAATATTAAAACAAATAATTGAATAAAAAAAGTTGAGAAAATATTTTATATTTTATTTTTTTATATTCTCTCATATTTTTATATTTTTTTCTTATTTTTTATATATTATATGTTGTTTTGTTGACCTTAAAATTATTGATCACAATTTGTTTGATATTAGAAAGTTTCATTTATAAACACAAAAATATTGAGGTGTCACATTTTTTTTGACATGGAATACTGATAGATACAAAAGTTTATCAATATTGATTAAATCTTTTATCACTTAAATTTTTAATATATATCTTCTAAATTGGTGTTATGAGTGTCTTAATTATATAATCAAAATAGATTATTAATATCCCAGCTTCCTATGGACATTAGATAGTGACATGAGAGATAAATTAATTATCAATCACAATTTTTTATCACTTAATTGTATTCCTCTTTGACTTGAGATTAAGAGGTTATAGTGGTGTTAGTCTTTTATGAATATCAGGTAATGATTGATATGAGAGGTTTGTCACTAATCAATCACATTTTAAGTATCTTCACTCTTTAAGGATTATGTTGTTATTATAACAAAAATAATTTTGTAACAATATCTTTTAAAATAGGTTATAAAAAAACTAGTGTAGAAAAAGAGGATGATAAATTTGTTATATTAATTGTATTATAGTCGATATAAAAAATCATATGTAATATTGATTTTATTGAAGTTAATATATAAATTCTTTATAATATTCTCATATATACATTTCGCATCTTACACAAAATATTTCTTCATTCTACAAAATTCTTTTTTTTTTTCCTCTCTTCTCTATATTCATTGGCCTTTTATCGCACCCTTCGTTACATTCTCACCTTTTCCCTCATGTCCGTGTATCCTCTACTGTGTCAACTTTTTAAAAAATAATAAACTGTTTCTAAACTAATTGTTGACAGGATCGATTGAACTTCTGGGTTTAGTGTATTTTATACATTAAATAACGTTAAAAACTATTTGCCAGATAATACAAAAAATTCAACAAAATCAGATTACTTTCTGAATTTTTTTATAACAAAAGTACGAATTATAAAGGCTAATTGATATTGTAACAACCTCCAAAAGTCGTATTAATACATTTCCTTGTAGATATCTAATTTCTTTTTAGGCGTTGTTCGGTATGAAAACTATAAATACCAGACGTACAGACAATAATAGAACGTGGCTAAACACAATTTTGCAAAATAAATATTAATGAAAAACAAAAAAAAAGCAGAAATGTTACTAAATACGAAATCTATAAATTTCAAGGTACGCATATAAATAAAGAAAAATGCTTTGTCGTAAGAAAAATAAAAGTGTGATTTATGTTTTTTTTTTAATTATTTGTAAATTTCTTTTAAAATATAGTGTTAAGAACTTTCCCTGTTTATGGTAATTAAATGCATAAAGTGATTTGAATGGTAATTAAATTGAGAGGTTGGGGAGAAGTTAGAAAGCTTTTTTAATCAGAAGTACCAAGTTGGATAGAAATAAAGTTGGTACTTTTGTTTGGTCAATTGATAGATATAGCAGCCAAATAGTTTTGCTATGATCAACGGGTACAAGTATTTGCAAATTCTGTCAGTAAATTTGAGACTGAAAAAATTTATTTGTCTCAAAATTTAAAGTTTAAATTTAAAATAAAAATTGTTATTTTAAAGAATTAAAATAATATTGCTATATATTATGTTTTTTAGTAATATAAATTTTAATTTGTGCATTAATTTTAAAATATAAATATTTATTTTTAAAATTATGTTTTATTAAAGATAAATAAATGTGGGATGAAATTTCAATTAAAAACAAATTTTACTAGAGAGAAATATATAGAGAGTAAAGAAGAAAGGTGACTTTTTTTTTAATTTATATTTAAGAGAAAAATTGAGAAAAGTAGAGGAATGAGAAGATAAAAAATAAATAATTTATTAGGCAATGACACAAAAATGGGTTAATTTTTATAATATAATGATATATATATATATATATATATATATATATATATATATATAATATCAAATCAATATATCTATAAATTAAAATTAATTATATTTAAGTAATTTAAATTTAAGTCTATATATTATTTTCTTTTAAATTTAATTAAGATATTGTTGGCTCGATATAAAATTGTGTTGAATAAGAAAATAAAATGAAATTTAAAGATATTTGGTTGAAAAAAATATAAAAAATAACAAGTACCAATTATTTCTCTTCTCTCTTTATTTACTTTTACTGACCATATAATTTTAATTTCAACCTTATTCAACTTGAGTATTACTTAAGAAAAGCAAAGAAGAAAGATTAAATAAATAAATAAACAAATAAACTTGAGTATTACTTACGGAAGTAAAAAAAAAAATTAATTTCAACTTATAATAATTATTCAATTAATAGATCCGATGCAAGTATAAATTCTTATTTTCTAATTTTGAATTCAAAACGATTAATTAGATTTAGCTTTATGTATATATACTTTAGTTAAAAAAAATCTAAAATGAAGGTAATTTTAATAAATTAGTTAATTAAGTCAATTTTTTCTTTTAATTGAATTGAAACGTTTTTTACTTGAGATCCTGTTATTATAAGTATAAAATGATGTTTCCTCGTGTGTCCGTACGGTGGAAACGCTAAATCTAATAAAACTACCAATTGGTATCATTATTTTTGATAAAAGGAATCAGAGAAATCTCAATAACAAATATTAAAAAGGATATGAACTGATTTACCATTCAGTAAACATACATTTGAATCATACTTGAAAATAAAATGATATTTCTAGAAAATTGTTTCTTTGTTTGTTTCTTTTGGTTTTGCTTTCGCTTTCACTTGTTAACATAATATGTATAATCATGTGTTTATATTGTGAATGGGTTGAGTACTCTTTGTGTTTAATTAAATGATCTTATAAGCTTATAACAAAATAAAAAAATTATTTTATTTAATTTAATATAAAATTTGAACTAAATTAAAATAATATTTTATGACTTGCTTTATATATATATATATATATATATATATATATATATATATATATATATATATATATTTTTTTTTTTTTTAAATCATTGTACAATATTTAGTACACAAAACTTTTAAACATTTTTTACAAAGAAATTGTTATTTTTTTAAAATAATTTGTTAAATATTTTATAATGATTTTTTTTTCAAAATGTTGTCAATTTTTTTTATGATTATTGTCATATTTATAATTTCAATTTTCCCTCATATTTCTAAATAAGTTATATAATCTTATTATTAAAAATTATAATAAAAATTTACTATTATATTTCGATATTGTAAGTAAAATACAATCAAATTTTTAAACAATCTTCATGACACATATATTATAATAAGAGGTTTAATTTAAATTAGTTTAGTTATTGATTTTAAATTGGAACCAAATTAATTGAAAAAATAATTGCTTTGGATAAACTTTCAATTTTTTTTAGATTTTGGTTTTTTTTTAACTTGTTTTGGTTTTTAAACTTCTTTATTTTAAAGTGTCTCTTTGATTTGGACACACTCGAGTCTTTATTTTATTAGGTTGGTCCACAAAACACGATGGATCGTTGTATTAACAATGAGTTTTCTTCGTGACATTAATTATTATGTGTTCTATAAAAAATAATATTAAAGGAGATAAGAAAATTTTAGTAAAATGTATGACATTGTGTTAATATGAAAATATACAAATACATAGATGCTCCTATTGTCACAAGATCAATACATGAAAAAAAATTTATAAAAAAAAATAAACAATAAAAAGAAAGTCTTAAAGGAGATAAGAAAATTGTAGTAAGAATGTCATTGTATTAAAAATGAAAAAATATATAAAGCATAGATAGATGCTCCTATTGTGATATATCAATACATGAAAATAAAATTATAAATAAATAAATAAATAATAAAAAGTAATACATAAAAGAAATTAAAAAAAAGACACATTTTCAACTAGAATCATCGGACACTTATATGTAATATAATTTGTCCATTGTATATGATTACTTAATCCCCTAAAATAAACTATTTAATTAAACAAATAATTACTTACTAAAAAATTAAATTAATTAAAATATAAAGTAACTTAAATTTATTATATATATATATATATATATTTATTTATAATATTCTTGATTTTAATGTTAATTTTATTTATTAACATTATTTAATTTAATTTGATTCTTAAATTAATTTTGAAAAATTTAAATTTATTTAATATAGTTAAATGCAAGTAGATTTTTAATCTACTTTATTGAATTTAGATTATTGAAAATTCAAACTAGGCCTTTATGATGGTGAAGTTACGTAAAATCCATAATTATAATTATTATTAGATATTAGTATAAAACTGTTTCTAGAATTTTTATATGTTATATATTTCGTGTTTAACCACTCTGAATTCTTTTAATTACTTAATTATCATATCATTTAATAATTAATATAATGTTTTTTTAGGTGATCTCTTATATATAATCTAAATTTTCAATATAAATTCTAATATTTAAATTAAAGTGTAAGAAAAATAAATATACGAAAAAAAGGTAAATTACAGAAAAAGTAAGTATACAATATTGATAAATGGCAAGAAAGTAAATACAATGTATTATTAAAGGATAAATAGGAATTTTGTAAATAAAATCAATAAAGATAACAACAAATTAAAAAAAAAATTGTTGAAAATGTTTGTATATATTTATAACATTTTTTTAAAATGTAAGTATGAATACAATTTCACCATCACCATTTTATTGAACATCACTAGGAGAATAAAATAAAATATAAATAAAATACAAAAATAGTCATTTTTTTTATAATCGCTTCCTTATATTCTTAAGTCATTCTATTAACACATATTTATAAATGTTCACATTACGTAAAAAAATATATAACCGTTTCTTTTATATATCTTTCGATTATATAACACCTTTTCAATTCTTTATTCTTTTTTCATCTACATATCTGTCTGTCGATATTTTGTCTTCTTCAATTCTATAATTATATCTCGATAAACACCTTGCATGTTTCAATTTTCTCTAAATTTTTACATCTTGATAAATCTTTCTTGAAATCCCTTTGATTCTTTCTCGATTTTTCTAATTCTTAGATCCATTTTTGATAATATTATTTACTTTCACCAACATATTTCTTGATTTTTTTATCAAATTGTGATTCTTTATTTGATTATTATATTATATCTTTTTCAATTTTTTATGAACTCTTAATCATTTATTTTTTCGATACTCTTTTGATCACTAACATTAATCTCAAATATACTTTCAATTTATACATTTTAGTATCTGAAATTATATACTTCTCACTACAAGAAAATCACATATTTCCAATAGATTTTTACCGATGGATTTGTAGCCATCAAAAAATGAGTCATTACTGACGAAAATTATCGACGGATATAAAGTATTTGTGGAATTTGGTCTTATCGATAAATATATGTATTGGTAAAATAATAATTAGTTACCGGCGGATATATCCGTCGGTAAATTAACAATTATTTACCGACGGATATATTCATCGGTAAATTAACAATTATTTACCGCTGGATATATTCGTCGGTAAATTAATAATTATTTACCGACGGATATATTTGCCGATAAATTAACAATTATTTATCGACGGATATATCCATCGGTAAATTAATAATTATTTACCGACAGATATTTTCGTTGGTAAATTAACAATTAATTACCGACGGATATACCCGTCGATAAATTAACAATTATTTACCGACAGATATTTCCGTCGGTAAATTAACAATTATTTACTGACAGATATATCTATCGGTAAATTAACAATTATTTACCGACAGATATATTCGTCGGTAAATTAACAATTATTTACCGACGGGTATATTCGCCGGTAAATCTGTCGGTAAATTAATAATTATTACCGACGGATATATCTATCGGTAAATTAATAATTATTTATCGACAAATATTTTCGTCGATAAATTCATGGTAAATTAACAATTAGTTACCGACGGATATGTTTGTCGATAAATTAACAATTATTTACCGATCGGATATTTCATCAATAAATCTATTGACAAATTAACAATTAGTTACACGATGATATATCCGTCAATGAAATTATATAATAATTACTTAATATATTCTAATAAATTAATTATTCACCTAATTAAAAAATTAAATATTTTTATTTAATAATTTAATTTAATCATAATTAGATTAATTTATAATAATTTATTAAATGAAATAATTTAAAAAAATATTTAATTATATATAAATATATCAAAATATATAAATATATCAAAAAATATAAATATATAAATATATTTGTATTTATATATTTACATGGATATACATTGATTTGTATATAAATATAATTTATTTGTAAGTTATTATAAAAAAATTCTAATAGTTTAATGGTTGGAGTATCGATCTTCAACTCTAAAATATTGGGTTTGAATCCTTCCATTAATCTGATAATAATTCAAAATTTTGAAAATATAATTGGAGGAAATAAATAATAATAAAAATATAAAGGGGAGTCGAGTCTAAAAAAATATAATAAATAATAAAAATATTTTACCGACGAATTTTTACTCGTCGAAATTCCGTCGATAATTTCACTATTTCTTGCAGTGTCTTCTATTGTTTCTATTATCAATTTTAAATCATTTTTTACTTCCACACTTCTCTCTTAATTTTTTTTACCCTCTCAATTTCTTCCATCAATCTCAATTTTACCCTTTCAATCATTATTTCCCACTTAAAACTTTAATATTTTTCTTAACTTTTTCTTTAAATTTACTAGTAACAAAAACATGCATATCAATATTTTATTAAAATTAAGAATAATGTTGTATAAAAAATATGTAAAAATAAAAAATTGAAAAGAAATCTAACTTACAAAATTAGTTTATAAGAAATTTATATATACACTATAATTTTAATTTTGATGTGTCTATAATTAATGTGGTATTTCAATGCATCCTTTCTATATACGATCCGTCGCATATTCAACTTCGAATAGATATCATATTCAAATATCAGAAAAATGAAGTTATAAACTTCATATTTAATTATCAGTGAAAAAAATAAAAAAAATGTCTTCTTTAAAAGACAAGAAAGATGTTATATTTGAATATCATTTGTGAAACACAATTACTCCCATAACGTGCAAGTTTTCTGAAGCAAAACTGTGATTTTTTTTCTACAAAAAGAACAAAGTGTAAAACTTTGGGTGACTTTGAACGTCTAAAAAACTTGTATACATCTACCACGCCAACTGTAAAGACTGCGCGATTTTATGGAAAATTGGATGTTATTGCCCATTTTTAAGTTTTACATATTTGTATAATAAACCCTGATAATTTGACAATCCAAATATTACATATCACTCCCTTCTTTCTACTTTTTATTACTCTTTCTTTCGGTAATATAATGGAAAAGTGATAAAAAAATAATTATTGTCTCATCCACCATGGAAGTTCAACTCTTAACATTTGTAAGTTATAATTAAGCAGTCATATAATCCTGTATAAAAGTAGTCAAATAAAATATCAAATGTCTTACATCTTCAAAATGCTTGAAGTGACTGCATTCTTGAATTATTTTTTAGTTAAATTAATTGTAACCTTATTTATTGAATAAATACTGTATGGAAAACTTTTCTCTAACTTGAATAACAATTACTTGAAAATTACACTTTTCAAAATTTTTAGGCTAATAAGATATAAAATTGACCTTTTAATTATAACCTAAAATTAAAGAAAATGCTATAAAACTTTAATTTTGATGTTTAGTAACTTCAGACTTCCAAAGTTTTATTGACAAGGCAAAGGAAAGTAATTAACAAATGGAGGGTTTATTACATGAAAAAGGAATAGAAACAGGAAAAGAAAAAACAAATTATGGATATTTATTTCTTCATTAAAGTTAGGGAAGTGAAATTATAGGATCCTTGTTTGGAGTCTTTGGGCGATGATATGCAATTCTCAGTGCGAATATATACCTACACTTCTTTTCAATCATGGCTTGTTTTCAAGCTGATAATGATGATCATCATCATGATGTCCAGGTGCAGGAGGAGTAGTTGCCACCTCAACAATGCTACTAGAAGTACCTTGATCTGCTTCAGGTGAAGAAGATGACTTGGCATGCAAACCGTGACCAACTTTCTCATTCTTCTTGATTTCTTCGTCGACATGCACCTCATCTTCAACAGTTACCACCACTGTATTGCGTCCAAAAGGACCAGGTACGATCGTTTCCTTTACTTTCTTGTGCTCATCAAAGTGAATGACCTCGGTTTCCTGCGTCTTCTTCTTCTTCCTCTTCTGAACGCAGCAGAATAGAGCGAAAGCGAGCGTGGAGAGCAACAAGAGGCCACCCAATGAGACAACCACGACTATTATGATTGTGGGGTTGTTTGGAGAGGGTGAAGGTGGAAGAGGGGCAGGGGGAAGGGGAGGAGGACGAACAGGACGAGGTGGTGGCGGTGGAGAAGGACGAACGGGACGAGGTGGCGGTGGTGGCCGCACCTTCGGGGGTGGAGGAGAAAATGGACGAGGTGACGGTGGCGGCGGCGATCGAAAAGGTGGAGGAGGAGAAAGAGGATGAGGGGGTGGAGGAGGGGTGAAGGAATGTGAAGGTGGTGGTGGAGGAGGATTGAGGGGTTGTGATGGTGGCGGAGGAGGGAAACGTGGATAGGAAAAGTTGTTAGGTTGATATGTAGCCATGCTTCTTGTAATGTGGATGGATTGATGTTTGGAAAGTTGAAAGGTGGTGTTGTGAGAGATTGTTTGTGGTTTGTGTGCTGTTTTGTTGTGCGGATTTATAAGAAAAAAATTGGGTACGAAATTAGGGAATGGTTTTAGTAACTTGACTCTGGTGCGAAGTTTTGTTAGGGGTTGTTTGCAGTGGAAAACAATTCTCACTCCATTTCCTTAGCTTCTTTCACTTGCATTGCTTCCGCTTCTTTCTATTTTTTGTTTGAAAAGATGGTAGGTAATATCTGTGCTGAGTACGATGTAATTGCTAGGTATCAGATGTCAGTGTTCCCCATTTAATAAGTTTCATCTAATTTATATATATATAGATATTGTCTTATATGATAAAATATTATAAAAATATTTTTTTATTATTATATATTTATTATGTACCGTGGACAAAGTCATGGATAAATATATTTATTATATATTTAAGTTAGACAGGATCGGATTCATCGAAATTGAAATTCATGAACCATGGACAAATTTCATTTGTATGCGATTAATCATGGAAGCGTTGCTTATAGTTTTCTTTACTCATTATTAATGAAAAATTAAATTTTGCCAAATTAATTTATATTAGGTCAGAATATTAACTAGCCAACACGACAAAAAATTGTTTGGTTCAATTTTCTTTATTGAATTCAGATCTTAAATATGTAATTATTTGGCCCACGATGCACATTAATTCTAGGAAGAAAAGTATCTTAATGATGTTAAAGAAATTGAATCATTCAAAATTTTAATTTCTCATAATTTGATCTTAAAAATATATTTTAATAAATAAAAAATAATGAATTACAAATTACAATTAAAACTAAATAAAAAATTTTAGATTAACCAACTAATATATAAAAATTAATTATTATATAAAAATAAATTCATTACATATTAATATTATTTATTAAATTTAAAATTTTAGGAAATAAAATTTATTTCATCTATTTTGTTTTTTTTATTAAAAAATAAGTTTATAATTTATTTTTAAATATTTTTAAAATTTAAAATAATTTCTTTTATTCACATCTAAGATAAAATAGAGTATCATAAAATATTAAAATAATTAACTAATTTATAATAAATAAAAAATTTATATAAGTATTTTATATTTATATATTATATTATACATACTAATTTGTTATAATAATAAATAAATAAAATAATTTTTTTCAATTATTTTTTACTTAAAAAAACTATAACGTATCTCTTTTTTTTTAACTTTTTTATACCTTTTTTAATAGAAGACAATAGAGATAAAATTATAAAAAAAGAAAAATTTAAAAATTAAAGACAAAAAATTACAATTAAAAATGTGAAAGAGAAACATATAAAAATGAATGAATGTAAAAATAAAAGATAGAAATATGAAAAGATAAAATGAGTGTTTGATAAAAAAAGTTGATGGAGAAATGAGAAGGTGTGAGAAAGAGATAAAAATCTAAAGTTAGAGAAGGAAAAAAAGAGAAAAAAAAGTAGAAGTTGTGTAAAAAAGAAATATAATATTTATTATAAATATAAAAAATTAAGAGAAGAATGGTAAAAAAATTAAATTTTAGTAATATTTATCAAATAATTTTAAAATTATATATATTTGGTCCTGGCCTTCCCTTCCCTCCACCTCCTATTACAACATCCTTATATTCATCTTAAGGTTCATTTTCATGTTAAAAATATTTTTTGTTTTAAAATTCTATTTCATCATAATTTTATTATTAAAATACACGTTAGGATGTTGAGAAAAAATATATATAAACTAATTTAACCTCGATTTCTAAGTAACTTGAGACTTAAAATAATGTGAAATGTTAAATATTTATAATGATTCTATCTTATCAAATATTTTCATATCTTGTTACAATGGCTTAACCTAACAAGTGAGATATGAATGTATTTTGTTAGAAACCATACCAAACTCATGATTTTGATGATAATGTTAAACAAATGACATCTAGAGGGGTGAATATATACACAAATTAAAATAGATGCTAAATTAAAATTTTATTTATTTAAGATGTCAAATAATTTATTAATTCAATTTTAAAGCGGAAACGATAATATAATCGGGAAGATATAACGAAGTGATTAAGAAAAGAATAGTGATAAAGAGAAGATAAGAACACACAGTAATTTATACCTGGTTCGGGTATAACTAACCCTATATCCAGTTCTCAGTCACCTCTAACATAAGAGTAACCCTAATTCACTATCTTTCAAATTCAGTTTACAAATTACAATCAAATTAGCAGAGGAACCAGTAAAAAGTAAACTAATTAAAAAGAAAATCACCTCCTTAAAAACTCACTAAGGATAAACACCTCACTAGAATCCCACTAAGAATGAACACCTTCCTAGAATTTCACTAGGGATGAACACCTCCTCTGAACAAATCAAAGGATGAAAACACCTCCTTATAATCCCACTAAGGATTAACACCTCCTTAGAATCTTATTAGGGATGAACATCTCCTTTGAACAAATTAAAGGATAAAAATACCTCCCTGAATAAATCAAAAGGATGAACAGTTTCCACGCAGGAAACTCAAAGAAGTATAACAGAATACCAACAACTACTTAAACCCTAAACAGGAAATTTAACAACAACCACCTAAGCCCACAAAGGATGAAGGTAATAAAATAAGAACAGTCACACCTGAGTAATAGAGACAACAAATTGTAGAAGCCTGTAGAATGATAACTCCAAGAATACAGTGTGATTGACAGTGAAAACGCAAGTGATAGTATGAAAAAGTTATCTCAAAAAACCTAAAAGTGATTTTTTGTCTTGCTCAAAATTCTTTTATCAAAACTAATTGAATGTAAATTAAATTTTCAAATTCTGTAATTGTGTCTTTTGATTTTTCATCAAAACTCATTTAAATAGAAAAATAACATTAGAAAATAGTCGTTGGTCATTAATAATTTTGCAAAGAAAAACACTACAAGAAATTTTGATATTACCGACGATCAAAATTCGTCGGTAATATTTATTAAATATTTTAATTATAGCTTATTTTTCCCTATTACATTTTTACAGGCTTCAATTATTATTGATTAAGAGAATTGTCATTGGCGGGATTCGAACCAAGTACCTTAGAGTTAGAGGTCGATACTCAAACCACTAAGTTACCAGAATTTTTTATAATAATTTACAAATAAATTATATTTATATACAAATATATTTTTATATATTTATATATTTATATTTTATATATTTATATTTTATATATTTATATATTTTTATATATATTTATATATATATATATATATATATATTATATATATATATATATATATATATATATTTATATATAATTAAATATTTGTATATGTTTTTATAGATTTTTATATATTTATATATAATTAAATATTTATTTTTTTAAATTATTTAATTTAAGAAATTATTATAAATTAATCTAATTATGATTAAATGAAATTATTAAATAAAAAATATTTAATTTTTTAATTAGTTGAATATTTACTAATTGATAATTTATTGACGGAAATATCCGGTCGGTAATTTATAGATGAATTTACCGATGGATATATCCGTCGGTAAATTCATCTCGTAAATTACCGACGGATTTATCGACTGAATATATCCGTCGGTAAGATCAAATTCCACAAATATTTTATATCCGTCGGTAATAATTATTTTCCGACGGTTACAAATCTGTCGGTAAATATCCGATCGTTAATACGCGATTTTCTTGTAGTGAAATCATGATGTATCCAAAAATATTTATTATATAAAAACGGATATATTTTTCAAATTTAAACGCATAATCGATTATGTTACCGAGTATAATCGATTATGACAAAGATAAAATCGTTTTTCCATTTCTGAAGCATCATCATTGATTATGACAATGAAAAATGTCATGTTACGAAATTTTATCACACTTGTGCTTAGGAGGTTTATGCATAATACTACTTTATTAACTTGTACCTCCTATCTAGTATTCTAAGACTCTATCTAGTATTCAGGAATCATTTTGACTTGCTTGAATCTTGAATAAAATCTTTATCAAATCATATCTTGAGTTTGCTTGAGTCTTGAATGTTGTTGACTTGATCCTAACAGATAATAAATATGATTAAGTTTTTGAATATTTAACATGTATGTTAAGTGTACTACAGGAAATAAATTAAAAAAAATTAGTTGAGTATTATATGCAAAATAATTATGCACTATCAAATGAAATTCTAAAATATGAAAACAGACATATATGATTATATGCTGATTAAATAGAGAATATGAAAAATAGAGGGAATTGCATAGAAGAATAAATGTGCAACGACCAGGATTCAAATATTATCTTAGAATGGAAATATACTGCAACATAAATCAATCAATAACACAACAAATAATATTAAGACTTACTAAAAGAAAATGAAGAATATTCAAGTATATCAGATTTGTTCAAGATACTTAGAAAAATATTTTTCTCCAATCACTGTGTTTACATAAAAAAGAAAACATATAATATGTTGCAAAGACTTACAAAGGAAGTATTTGAACCAGACAATTCAAGAATATTCAAATATACTAAAAGGAGATTTTATGCAAAGAAGAATATTATATTATTAAAGAAATATTTCTGAACAATAATAAATGTTAAGGATTTTGCAGTCACATCTTGATGTAAAAAAAGGAGCTCACTACTAAAAAAATCACAACACAACAACTGTAATATAATTCTATTAAATCCTTTGTTATGAGTGTAAATTTCCTCCTTATGAGAGTTATTTTTGTAATACTTGAAATCATCTTTGTAGCCAAGAGTGATAGTAAATAATACTCGTGCTCTTAGTCTCAAAAAGATATTAAGATAGATAACTAGGAGTGACTTGGTATATATTAGTAGTTAAAAGTGACAATAAATAATACTCGTATTCTTAGTCTCAAGAGGAGATTAAAGTTGATAGCCAAGAGTAACTTGTTATACTCGTTGATAGCCAGAAGTGTCTTAAAGTACTCAGAGTAATCTTGTTAATTATAGTGAAACATTTTAAATGTTTTTAAAGGAGAGTAGATATAATCTTTGGTTGGAGTGAACTTATTGATTTTATATGTGCATTGCCTTCGTCTAGTTATCTTATATATTCCATAACTGATTCATTACTTATTTATTTTCAAAAAAATGTTTTTAAATTAGTAGACAATTTCTATTAAAAATTGATCTATCACCCCCTCCTTTCTAGAGCTTACTGGTCTGCGCTTTCATACTTTACATGAATAATGATAATGTCTCATTATACACATAATTGTAGGATGTTTAGAAATAACACAAAGCAAGATCGATGTTAAACATCACAATTATAGAATTGTGGATCATATACCATTTTTTATTATAGACATGAATAAATTAATATAGGTCTTTGACAACTTTTACCATTTTCTCCTAAAGATAATATTATCTTATAATCCTGTTTACTATACAAGGATTCTGACTTTTTTACGATTTTGTAAAAAAAAATATATAATATTTACATGATAGGTTTGATTTTAAATTTTTTTATCAAATTAGGTGAAATCGTGTTTGGAGGACACGACATACTCATCATCAAAGCACCATTGCCTCCTTTGAGCACACTGCATATTGATAATCAAGACATCACAACATGTTGAGCAAAAAGCTGGAAACATAGGGGCACTTGAAATCATGCTTGCAAGCTCGATTTTAGTTGCGATTGAAATTGTGCTTCCTTGAACAAGTTTAGTAAGATCGTGCTAGGTTGCTTTGAGGAAAGTGTGGTTTGTGGCACGATTTCAACTCTACTAAAGTCGTCCTTGCTGACTTAATTTTATTAGGTTTGTCACTCACACATAACTCATTCTTTCTTACATGATTTCAGGTGTAGTTTTAATTTTACACGAGTTCATTGCATGTTCTGCACTAGGTCAATTGTGAATAATATACTACAACCCAAATATACAAGTTAGACATGACAACGTGAATAATATAATTATATGAATATGAAAATGTATATTACATATGTTGAGTAATCCAAGTGTGAGTTAAGTTTTACATTGAGTAAGAATGAGAAAGTTGAGTAACATATAAAGTTGATCGGCAATGGGTTAGAGTGGTCTTTGTATCGAAAGTCTTTCTGACAGAGTGGGTAGGTAAGCGTGTCCCGTTAGAGTGAATTGTAGTACATGGAAGAACTACTAGTGAGCTCGAGGGGATGTACCAATGTTAATTGACTCATACTTGAGGGGAAGATTGTTGGCTAATCCAAGTGTTCCAAGTGTGAGTTAAGTTTCACATTGAGTAAGAATGAGAGAGTTAAACAATATATAAAGAAGTATGACCCAAAACCCAAAACCTTATGATTTTGGGTTGAGAGTGGTATCAATCCCTTATATGGGTTAGACTCACGTCTCATTGGTATGTTTTTCCCCTGTGAATCTCCCTCGAATAACCTAACAATATATAACTACTTGGATAGTTTCAAATGCATCATAGCAATACATAAGTTCATTGCAATTGTAGTTTGAGGAGATCATAAGTTGACTGCAATTGGATTATTGAAGATAAATTTTAGAAGGTAAATATTTCATTTTCAGTTAGTTTAATTAAATATATGCTAATCTTATTTTTAATTACTTATTTATCTTCTATTGGTTTAATTAAATTTCTACTAATTTTATTTTTATTTCCTTATTTATCTTCAGCTGGTTTAATTAAATATATGCTAATCTAATAACTTATTTTTTGGTCAATTAGATAAACAAATTTCAATTTGATAGCTCATCCATTACAGTTGACAAACACGTTATTTAAGATATTGTCGAAGATTTTAGTGATAAGAAAAAAAATAATTTTTCCTCTGGTCCAATGTATGTAAATGATGATGTCTTGGTACATAATGGATAGTCATCTAATTAATTAACATATACAATTCAAAATAACATATGAGAAGGTTAGTCTTTTCCATCAAAATAGAATCGTAAATGCAATCAAATAATTTCATATTGATAAGGGATACAAATTTTTTGTTATTGAGTCTAAAGTTAACAAATATATTGCTCGTTATATAAATTATAACAATGAATGTCAACGAAGAGTTCATGCTTCATTCAGTAAAATTTGTAACCAATGAGAGATTAAACAAATTGAAACACTTCATATATATTTGAGTATAATGTTAAATTTAGATCATCAAAACTTAGACTATATCGTCATTGTTAATATTATTTATGAATTAGTTAAAATAAATCTCTTTGTTCCTATGAAAACTTTGATGGTAGAAGTAAAAGATAAACATGATTATAAGATCATTTGAAAAAAAGCATGGATATAGCAAACAAAAAGATGTTTGTCATGACATTTGAAAACTGGGAAGAGTCATATAATGATCTTCCAAGTTGTAAGTTGTTGAAGATAATAATCTTGACACAATTGTTCAGTACATACATTTGTTCTTTTAATTTAGTGCATGATCTATAGTCCATCATTTATATTGGAATGTATCTTTTGGTCATTTAAACCATGTATAAAAGGTTTCAAATGTTGAAAGCCAATTGTTCAAGTTAACCACACATTCTTAACAAGAAAATATCAAGCTACATTATTTATTACAATTGCACAAGATGACAATAAAAACATTTCTACTTGCATTTGTAATTGTTGAAGGTGAGATAAAAGAGATAATAGTATGGTTCTTCCAGCTTCTAAGTCATTATGTTACACTATAAAATAATTTATGCATGATAATAAACAAAGGAACAAGAATATTGCCAGCTTTACAATTTGAAGATCTTAATTGGAATGATCTAATCTTAGCTTACTCGTATTCGCCATATTTACTCAAACTTCAACCAAAAAATTAGTCATCAATCTAGGTAACATCTTCTAATCTTAAAAATATATTTCTTTAAATAACATATCTATGAAATTATATTTTTCTTTGTAGGATATAAGATGAAACAACCAATTAATACTTATAATTGACTGTATTTATCGATCTAATTTACGAGTTAAAAAACATTTATAAGAAATATGAATTTCAATTCCATTCAGTTCAAAATAAAGAGTACTCGATATGCTTATACATGTCCAAATTTCATTCTTGATTCTAATATGTGTCTAGAGACTTCAGAAAAATCTACAACTACTCATATTTGGAATAAAATAGATCTACCCATTATAAATAAATAAAAAATATTGATTTTATAGAAATGAAAGATATAACTATAAAAATTGTCTATATAGACAATAAATTTATACTATTTTATTTAAAATAATTTAATATTTTAATTTTTATTATTGACTAATTTAAATTAATTCATATTCCTACTTTTTTCACTATCTTTATTTTCTATTTCAAATTAATAATATAACATAATTAAATCAAAATTAATTAATTTATAAATAATATATTTATGTAAACAATCAATTATTTATATTTTATTGAAAAAAAACATTAAATCATGCTAAGTAGTATAACTTTAGTTAAAAAAAAAATTTAAAATACTCATCTACATTTCATTAAAATAAACGAGTACTAACTAAAATCGTTCCATATGGTACGATTTTATTATTAGATAACCGTACTTGTCCCAGTGAGCACGTGTGCCCAAGATGATTTCATCCAACGTGTGCCCATGATGATTTCATCCAATTTAGTAAATTTTTTAAAATTGACCCTATCACATAAATATCATGTACTTTTTACCCAAAATCTTAAAAAAAATAAAATAAAATAATCCCCCACAACCTTCTTTATATCTATTCGGAAGTGGGTATAGCTTACGATTTTGTAAACCCCGACACCCCTTTTATTAGTTTGTTTGCCTTCGTTATATATCAATTATAATTCAAATTTATCATAAATAAATGGGAACTGTTTCTCTGAGTCTACTATTTAAACTTTACATATTGTATATATAAAATGGACAATATATTAGAAAAATCATTATTTGTAATAACAACTGATGTTAAAAATTATTTTTCTGCATCCATTAAAATCAATAATTAATGTAAACTGTAATTCAAATTATCTCGGTTCACTAAACAATATAGAAAAAAATCATATTAAAAAAATGTCAATGGCAGTGTGAATATTAACACTTTACTTCAACCTTACATATCTTTGTCATTTTGTCACCATACGTGCTTTTCTCATAAATCAATATCTAACAAACCATAAAAATCTATAAAAAAATAATTAGTAAAGAGAATAAAGTAAATCAGAAAGGTATTTATATCTTCAAAATTCTTATAGTGATGATATGATTCTTAATTTGGTTTTGTTACTTAAATTATATGTTAACTTTAATTATGATAATAACCTAAAACTGAAGAACATAATATAACCTAAAATTAAAGAAAACATTATCAACTTAAATTTTTATAGTCGATAAATTCGAACTTCCAAACTTTACAAGGTATAGAAAGGAGATTTAACAAATGAAGGGTTTGTAACGCGAAGAGGAACCCAAAAAAAGAAAAGAAAAAAAGGAACAAATACTTCTTTCGAGGATATTTATTCATTGAAATAAGTTTAAGTGCGAGTATAGGATCCTTGTTGGGAGACTTTGGACAAGGATATGCTTTCGAAATACTTCTTTCAATCATGGCTTGTTTTGAAGCTGGTGATGATGTTCAGGTGCAGTAGGAGGAGTAGTTGCCAACTCAACAATGCTGCTAGAAGTACCTTGATCTGCTTCAGGTGAAGAAGATGACTTGGCATGCAAACCGTGACCAACTTTCTCACTCTTCTTGATTTCTTCGTCGACATGCACATCATCTTCAACAGTTACCACCACTGTATTGCGTCCAAAAGGACCAGGTACGATCGTTTCTTTGATCGTTTTGTGCTCATCAAAGTGAATGACCTCGGTTTCTTGCGTATTCTTCTTCTTCTTCCTCTTCTGAACGCAGCAGAATAGAGCGAAAGCGAGCATTGAGAGCAACAAGAGACCACCCAATGAGACAACCACGACTATTATGATTGTGGGGTTGTTCGGAGAGGGTGAAGGTGGAAGAGGGGCAGGGGGAAGGGGAGGAGGACGAACAGGACGAGGTGGTGGCGGTGGAGAAGGACGAACGGGACGAGGTGGCGGTGGTGGCCGCACCTTCGGGGGTGGAGGAGAAAATGGACGAGGTGACGGTGGCGGCGGCGGCGGCGATCCAAAAGGTAGAGGAGGAGAAAGTGGATTAAGGGGTGGTGGTGGAGGGTTAAAGAAGCGTGAAGGAGGCGGTGGGTTGAAGGAATGTGAAGGTGGTGGTGGAGGATTGAAGGGTTGTGATGGTGACGGAGGAGGAGGAATATGTGGGTAGAAAAAGTTGTTGGGTTGAGTTGAAGCCATTTTGGTTGTTTTAAATTTTGTTTTGTTATGTCGATGAATTGATGCTTTCAGTATATGGTTTTGCTGTGGTTTGAGTGTTATTTGGCGGTGGATTTATAAGAAAAAAATGCAGTGTATGAAAGTAGGGTATGTTTAGTAACTTGACTCTCATGCAAAGTTTTGTTATGGTTTGTTTGCATTGAAAAACACTTCACGTTGGACTTACTTAGCTTGTTTGACTTGTGTTGCTTCTTCTTCTTTCTATTTTTTTGTTTGAAAAGATGGTGATACCTTTGCTGAGAGTGATGATTGGAAAAGTTAGCAGCATCCTGAGCAATGTACGATTAGTTTTTTAATTTGGATGCATTATGAGCGTCTTTAACAAACATTCTAATATATTTTTGTTTAACTTGTGTTAGAGAAATATGAATAATGTTTTAGTATAGATAGATTAATAATAATAAAAAAAAAAACAATTACTTTTTAAATTAAAGTCTAACCTTCCAAATTAATAAAAATAAACAATTATTCCTTCAAAAGAATACCACCCTTCGAAAAAAGTTACTTATTTTAGGATCAATAATAGTTGTCGGCTAAAACACTCACGAATACACTACAAGATTCGAACCCCTTCTAGATAATACTTTCTATACACCATAAATTTTCAGCTAAACAATTACTGCATTTATAAAACATGGTATAATACTCGTTGATATTTGACAAAGTGTTAAATCAAATCAAATAAAACCTAATTATATAATAATAATTTGATGGTTAGATATATCAAATTTTAGATAGTTTTAAAAAGTGATACACATATAGTTTAAAGAAAGGATGAAATGATAGAAAAACATTATTGGCTCACGGTGAAGGAAAAAGGCACAAAATTTTATATATATAAAGCATTTGAGTTAAGGATAATTCAATTTAAGAAAAAAAAAAGCGTTTAGACATCATAACTTCAATCAAATGTGATTTTAATTATAAAATAACGAGTTCAATTTTTATACATTCAAAATCATGTGGATTTGGTACTTGCTTATTAGCAAATTAACTTTGTTGTTTTTTAAAACAGAATTCATATTAGAATGTGTGATTAATTTTAATTTACTTTTTATTAAATTATTTAAAATGAAAATGAGAAGTTATTCTCCATCAATTTTTAAATTAGTTTAAGGTTACAAATGATTTAATTTAAATTATAATTTCATTTTCGAAAGGATTTTAAGTTATAATCCTATTTTAAAAATCAAACTAAAGTTAAATAGAAGATGTTCTAATCAAGATTATAAAGTGAAAATAATCCAGTAAAGTTAAAATAAAGATATATTAAAGCAATATTATGTTTGTGATACCCTAATTAAGGTGAAGTTGGGATGTTCTAATTAAGATCAAACTAAAAAGATATCCAAATCAAGGTTACACTTGTAATGAGAAAGATGCAAAAAGATGATGTTGAATTATGTTTTAGTATCAAATTTATGAATACTCTTTTCACATACAAATTCATAAATGCATTAATCTCAATTCAATGTTAATAAAAAAGGTAAAGGATAAGAGAATAATAAAATGAAAATACTAGCATTTTTCGATTGGTTTATCTATAATAGGAACTAAATCAGCTTCTCAATCAATGTGTTAAGTTCCACTAACAGTGACTCAAACAAGAGCATTTTTTTAAATCACTCTTAACTTATAATATAAATATTTTTTTTCATTAGCTTTTCAAGATTTTACAATGTGAGTATTATTGAAATAGTAGTTTATAAATAAATAGAAAGATAATATTTTAAAACATTAGTGTTTTATAGATTTAAAATAAACATATTAGAGGACACATACAAGATTAAACTTAATAAATCAAATAGTTATAAGAGAATATACAAAATCTAAAACTTTTTATGAAGAAGAATAATGAAGTATAATGATTTAAAATATAGAAAATAGTTATTTTGTTCATCAACACTCTCCTTGTTTTCTTTCTTTTATTTACACTAGTATTGAAAGAGATGATTGTTGCCTTAGCAACTAGCCATTATGTTTCTTCTTCTTTTGGGTTATGTGCTGTCAAAATGCTTGTTCTATGGTAGATGAGTAAAAACAACATAACATTTTTTTTCTTTGTATGAAAACAAAGAAAATATAAAATTGGTACTAAGATGTTTTAATTAGAATCATGATCAATTGATCAACATAGATACTTTATTGACATTTTTAAAAATGGTTTAGTGTTAATGAATACACAAATATTGTTTTCTCAACCACTACACATATTTTGGTTTCTTTTATATATGAGAAATATTAGTAGATTTGATCGACTTAGTGAACAAGTTTTTCTTTTTATTATTATTAAAGTTGAAGTGGCAATTTTTGGAACCATTTCAAAAGATGCTCTATAACTCTATTAGTTTTATGTTACTTTAAATAATTAAATTTTAATTAAAGATAAAATCAACAAAATTGAATTTTTGGATTGAAATAAAAAAATATTAAAATTAATTTTTTTAATATAATTATTTTATAAAATATATAATATATTTTAATTTTTTTATCTTATTAGTTACATCATTTCTAAATAAAAATTATTTTATTATATTTTTATATTATTTAACAATTATTATCTTATATTCTTTAGTATATTTTATATTTATAATCTTTATTATAATACAATGATGATCATGAAAGTAAATTTTATTATTATTTTTTAATTATTACTAATGAATTTATTATATTATAAAAATATTATTTTATTAAATTCAATAATCCTTTAATTAAAACTTTAAACTTTGAATGTACCTAACCAAACAATTCAATTTTAAGAACATTGGACAAATGTTATTAAGAATATGAACATGCGTGGGAGAATTATCAACAATTTGATGAGAATTTACTTAGATAATTTTCCCTATGAATTGGTATTACAAATGCTTTTCAAACTAAATTTACTATTATGATTATTACTTTTCAATATGCAAAACATTTTTATCAGAGTATCGCATTCTTTTAGTCATTACATATTATGTTCTAGAATTTATATATATATATATATATATATATATATATATATATATATATATATATATACATATATAGTCTAATTATTAAATTTTATATTAAACATAAAAATAACTTTAAGTGGAGAGATATTCTAAGATTTATCAATTGAAAATATCATTTAGTTATTTTGAAAAATTAAGTATTACTAATGTTATATATCAGAATTATCAAATGCAACAACGAATTAGTGTATGGTTGTTTTCTGTTAACCAATTACAAAGCTGCATTAAATACTTCAAAATATATATATTTATCGTTTGATAATAATCTTACACAATTCGAAAAAGGATTATTTTCAATGAAAGATACATACATATCGTATTTGTTGCGATACAAAAACTGAAAAAAAAAAAGAGAAGTAAAATTGCTTTCACCAGAATCCCAACGCACCTAGGAATGAAGCCAAAGAAATGTGTGCAACGTACCAAATGAAGAAGGTATAAGAACGACGGAAAATGTAAATTTTCTTCTGTAATTTTCCTTATCCTTTCCATACAATAACCAGTTACATTACTCATAAAGGAACAGTCTTTTCTCTTAACACAATTCCTTTTCTATGGCCCTTTTGGGTAAGAAAAGTGGTGAGAAAAAGGCAATTCCTTAATCATCAATTGAAGGACGTGTTGTGTTAGGCAACCTCCTGCCACGCACAAATGAACTGAATAGATGCAGCGCTCTTGAAGGTTGAGCATAAGGTACCATGTGAGCAGCACCTCTCACAGTGGCAAAAGTCAACAAATTTCCATACTCAGTTACCCAACCTCCAACCTACATGCCACGACAATTGGAATAAGCTAAAATAATGTGACAACCTCAATGTAAAACATTCTTAAACTGAAGAAATTTTTGAGGTACCTGCTCTTTGTGGAACCAAGCCCCATATGGGACTGTAATCTTGAATTGCAATTCGTCAGCTAGTTCACGAATGAGTGTTCGAGATCCCAATAATGGCACAACTGAATCTTGGTCTCCACTGAGATCATTTAACATTAAATAATTACAGACAAAGAGAAGGTTATGTATCGAATGATGCTAGAAGGTTTAAGTTACCTGAAAACCCATACTGGGATATGGTTTTGGACTATTCTTTTGAGAATTGGAAGGATGTTGATGTTACCATCAGTGTCGCTGTAGTTTACAACACTGCAAACAGCAACATTACAGCTCTTGAAAGATGCAATCTATATTACTCAAATTAGATTAATTTCTTCAAAATACCCCGACTATGCGTTTTAAACACAGGAATTTTCACAATTTTATGAAAATTAAAAATGTAATTTTAATTATTTTAATTCAAACTATTTCATTTTTTTAATATTTTGCTTAGATAAGACATTTAAATTTTATTTTTTTAAATAGATTATTTCAAGTATCATCAAAATATAAACAAATATTTTAAAATAAATAATTAAAAAAATTTAATATGTATGAAAATCATGGTTAATATTTGTAAATTATTTCGGCCTACAACAAAAAAATTGTGAAAAAAAAAGAAATATTTTATATTAATTAAAAATAACAATATTTAACGTGAAAAAAAGTTTTAAATTGAAAAAAAATTCACTTCTATTTATCCAAAAAAACTCTAGGTAATATATATATATATATATATATATATATATATATATATATATATATATATATATATATATGAAAAATTAGAGTTATTAAAATGGGTGGAACAATTCAATCTAATATGATTATATATGTATATGAAAAATTAGAGTTATTAAAATGGGTGGAACAATTCAATCTAATATGATTTTATGGCCTAAATAAAAAAATTTGATAGTCCAATCTAGCTTATATTTTGAAACCAGCCAAAAATTTTAATTGAACTTAAATTTATTTTAGACTAATGAGCTAATTTGCTTGATTGAATTAAAAAAAAATTCACATATCTATATAAAATCAATTAACTAAAAAATAAAAATAAATTTTAAAAATAAAAATATATTTTGAAA